CAAAACAAACCCTCAATTTAATTGTGGATTTTATGCCAATTCTATAATACATATTATTTGCTATATAAATGCTCAGTTATTATCAATAAGATTTTTGTTTTAAAAAAAGATGAATGATGATAGGGTGTTAATTCCTGATGGCTGTTTTTTTCAAAAATAATTCCTGATCCTCAAACAATTTAAGAGTACTGGAGTTACCCTACACTGGGCTAAGAGTAACCCTGTTAAGTGAATTATCCATTACTATCTCCCTATCTATGTGATCTTTAATCAAAATTGGTTATTCAAAAGAAATATTTTCAGTTTTTTAAATGCATGAAAATTTATGTATGTGTCTTTTACCATTACTACTAAATATCATGAAGAATATAATTATAATATTGTTCTCATTCTAACCTTTCATCTAAATTACTAGATAGCTTTGTCAATAAGAGCAACTAAATAATGGAATTAGGTATTGTTTAACATTAAAGATCACATAAGCGATTATGACATTAACTAACTCAGAAGAGGAAGCCAGTCAGTGGGTCACCGATTTCAAACACCTTTTTTTTTTGTGATATTACATCAAATATATTAGACACCTGTGGTGGCGTTCATTTCAATTGGCTTTAGGAGCTGAGAAATTTTTTATTTTGTAAAATAAATGTGTTATTTCTTTTTGCCTTTGCTTTGTCTCCATTTCTTAGGTGATATATATCAATCAATTTTTATTTGCGTGAGAAATAAGAAAAAAATATTGCCAATAATATTAAATGAGTTATAATGAACCATAAATTACAAAAAAAAAAAAAAAACAGACGTTTCCACTACAGTAGACAGAGTAAATGTTTGTTTTAAAAAATCAAGTTATATTTATTTTTAATATCCTTTAAAACTCTCGAATATGAATTTTTATAAAAATAAAAAATACAAACTTTACTGCTTGATTTCTTAAAGGAATTTTTTATGGTTGTCAACTAAAGCATTCATAACTCCTCAGGATTTTCTCCAAATCCAACATTAAGAAAACTGAATCACTGCTCTTTCAACACATAATAACTTAGATTTCATTCCTTTATAAGATAGAAATAAATAAAAACTTTTCAACCATTTTCTTTTTACATCTTTGGTTTTAATTTGTTTACAGAGTTCAGATTTGTACCAAGTAGCCTATAAGGCCCAAAACCACTGAAAATTTACTTGTGGATCAGTAGAGTCTTCTTGAAATTACCACAATTTTTGTGATATTCCAAAAACATTGGAATGGTACAACCTGTCGGTCAGTCCGATTTAACTATACATAGAATGGGTATAATTTTCAACAATTTTAACAGAACAACTTTGTAATATGGAGAAAATATTTGTTTTAGGAGAAACAAAGTTGATATTTGTTTTCCAATCTTGAAATAACCCACAATACTTAAAATATTTTTATAGCAGTCAAAGTTCTGCCCAAGTTGGACCCTTCCAATTTTTTTAAAATACTACAAAAATGTTTATAACTTCCAGCTGACTCCACTAATACACAAGAAAATTTTCAGGGATTTGGTGTCCTGTAGGCTACTCTAAATGGTACAAGTCTGAATTCCGTATACAAATTGAAACTAGAGGTATAAAATAATAAAGGTTGAGAATTTTATATTTATTTTTCTATTATAAGGAATAAAATTTAAAAGTTATTGTTCGTAGGAAGAGCATTAATTAAGCTTTTCAACAGTTGTATTAACTTTGAATTTTATATAAATCCTGAGGAGTTATGAAGGCTTTAGTTCACAACTGGGGAAAAAATGGGAGTGGGGTGGCCGAGTGGTATAAAACCTATGTAAAACATGATAAACAGAAGTTATAAGATAAAATAATTACGAGTTTGCGTACCGGTGCTCGACCCTTAACTACAACGTTAATTCCCCACTCTCTCCACTAGCCTGAGAAAAATCCCTGTAGTGCATAAAAAAATGAGGAAAAAAATCAAAGAAAATCAAACAATCAAGTTTTATATTTAGATTTCTATAAAAATTCATATAATAGAGGAGTTTTAAAAGTAACTAAAAACAAATATAACTTTTTTATAAAAATTTACTTTTGGTTTTTTTTGTTGTTGTAATTTATGATACATTATAACTCAATTAATAATATGAGCAATATTTTTTTCATTAATTTTTTATTTAAATGCGTAAAATATAAAACTAAACTATAATTGTCTAATTAAAATTTTATAATTAAACTATAAGTTTCCCTGCTTCCTAAGGCACATCGGAACAAATGCCATGACGTGTCAATAATATTATTCGATGTAGTATCACAAAATCAAAAAAATTGGTAGAAAAGGTGCATCACAGATTGTGATTTTCCCTCTCCTTTCTTGTAGAGTTAGGCATTTTGAAAATATATTGAGCAGGTTTTTTTTTTTATGTTATTGGATAAACAGAAGAAACTCTGATTTGAGTTCCCATTCCATTAATAAACCAAATTGTTAACTTTTCCTGTCCTGTTCCTTTGAAATAGATGCTTTGGCATTATCAAAAATCTAATATCTTTTCAAGAAATACGGACAACTGATTAAAAATGATTTATTTGGGTATAAGGGTGATTCTCAGATTACGAGCAATTTTCATGATAAAATTTTAATAATCTTGATGGCATTTAAATACAATTTTCTAAATACCTCACCTTCTATTGCTTCTCAACTGTAGATTTGAACAAATGACGAAAATAACAAGTGTTTTTTACTCAGTAATTAAAGTAAGTAATGCTAATCATTCGGGTGGGAAATGACACGAGTTTTCAACTTGGTAATGACATTTTCAAGTATTTTATTCGGCTAAAACTGCTGTGTAACTAGTATTAAAATTCTGTTTTTCCAGCTTACTTGCTACAAACCATAGTCAAACGTAAATTATAATGAATGATATAATTTGTACAGGTAGTGAGATAATATATGCGGTGGCAATGTTAACAATAAAGGTACGTGCTCACCGTACAAGAAACGGATGCGAAGAGGGAGGCTCTCCAACTGGTAGACCTATTCACTAGTGGCTTTCTTTAACTCCATGGCTACAACCACACCCTGAAGATATTTTCCCACTGTTTCCTCTTTTCAACACTTAAATATCTGATGTAATGTTTTTTGCTTGGTAATGACATCAAAGTAATGGGAAAATACCCGAAAAACCATAAACATACTTCACTGTTAACAAAAGTAAAAAATTAAATGTTTACTATAAAACTGAGAGTGGGACAATACGTGGTAATGACATTTTAGTAGCTTAAGTAATTATAAAATTACATTATTCTTTAATATTTCAATATGAAGAAATATTTCTTCACCTCATAACAGTGGGCAAAAAATCAAGTTAGACTTAATTAATCACCTAAAAGTTGTTGTTAACGCCGCATACGCTCATTTCTTTATTTTTATTATTTTTTCTCACCATTAGCCCCTTTTTAGTGTGAATAATGGAATGAATATTTATTATTTTTTTGTAATAGGCCGAGGGATAGTGTCCCTAAAATATATTATAGTTTATATTTTGGCTTCGTTTGCGATGTGTTATCGCCTTTGTGTATACGCTCCAGCCCGGCAGTAATACCCTGTCTTAGGGATTAAGACACAAATACTGTAATAATACTGTTGCGCCCGGTGAGTCTGGAGCTGGCCTTCGTTATTGGGTCCACGTAATGGACAATTTCTCTCACCTTCTCACCAGCCGCTCCAGTTAACTCAAACCCCACCGGCCTAGTATATGTGCCCTGTTGTTTTTTTCGGAAGTCTGGAGCTAACTTTCGTATGGAGCAGAAGTCTACCCCCACCATTTTCACCAAGTTCCCAGGCTCCTCTCGTTTCAATTGTCACCTCACCTGCGCCATTTTGAAGGTCCCAGCTGTATCATCGCGAGTCATCGATCAGGATATGCAGGATCGATATGCATATCGATCGCCCCACCATCGACTGCTGTGACAGCTGAACTTCAGGTAACTAACCTCTTTGGAAATATAGCATCCAATTTGGGATATTTTAGTTCAGATTCTCTCACCGTTACCACAGACATTTTTTTCTCTCTCTTAGTTTACCATAATTTTATAAGTTGATTTTATTTATATTTTGCTATAAATGGCTATTTTGGTTTTATTTTCTCTGCATATTATGCTTATGATTTATCTTTCTCACGACTTTACACCAATATTTATTTTAATTTTTGTACATAATTAGATCTTTTTTTATCTCAATAAACTGTAAACATTCAAAAGGGGATTTTCCATTTTTTTTATTTATTGAAATATTTCTATTTTTTAATATTCTCTTGTGCATGCATTTGTTTTTTTCTTTAATGTTTTACAGGTCTCATTATTCACTGATTTTTTTTTCTCCTTCTTTCCCAACGTTTTTTAATTTCACTCGAATTTTCCCCACCAATGAGGAAACGCACCGGGGAAAGATTTGTACTTCGATTTTGAAGTACCCCTGGCCCCAACAGTTGTAATGGACTTAAACTTGCCCCTACAATGAGAATCACCCATAAATGAAAACAATTAATTTTTACAACAAATGTGATTTATATTTATAATTTAGCATTCCTATTATCACAAGCTAATTATGAATAAAATGCATCTGATTGCACTTGTTTATTTTTATTACTAATATTATAGAGTTCTCAATTTTCTAGAGAGTGACAGTAACAAAATGATATAAATTATCTAAAGTTATAATTATTTGATACATAATCTTGATATTTGAAGAAAGTTTCTTCTGAAGGATTTTATATGGCAATATTTTCATTTTACTTGGCTGATTTTAATCATACATTTAAAGTCAACATTAATATTAACACTCCTAAATTTAAACCATATTCAAAATATGTATGTAACTTTGGTTTAACATATTAAAAATGTTTAGATACACAACAAAAAACTAGGTGAATAAAACCCTATTATTAAATCTTTTGCTATTATCATTAATGCTAAATCGTAACATGAATGTAGAGAAGTTTAAACAAAACATTTATCATTCAACAATAAGCTCAACCAGAAGGCACAAAGAGGAAGGCACATAAGAAAACAGGACAATTAGTACTTACACATGTCCCTGAATTTTTCTGAACATAATTAGCATCCTCAGCCTAGATATAAACAAAACTGATTAGGATTTAAGGTTGGAAAGGAATCTCTAACAACTTAATAAGAAGAAAAAAAAAAAAACATAAAAAAGTATGACATGTAAAATTCAAAACAGAGGCGATAACAAGGATTTTTACAAATTACTAGTATTTTGGCCATATAACTGAATAATTTTATTTTAAAAAAAAATTAAATTGTTAAAGGAGCATTTAGGTAAAATGTAAACAATCTTTTATTACTGATGCTCTTTTCTCTATGATGTAATTTTGTGATTAAAGAGCTCATTCATTATTAATTAAAAATAAAATATCAATTCTTGAATTTGGGTTACTAGGTATCAGAACTCTTGCAATTTTATTTTATATAAGCATCATTTATTAGCTCACCCTTGGCATTGATTAAGAATTCAATATCACATAATTTCATTTCTGCAATTATATATCACTATTGCTTTAAGTGCACTTTATATGTCAGTGTTATTAAATTTGAATGCATTAGTCACAAATTTACAGTTTTATTAGCAGACATAATATATATGTGTGTGTGTGTGTGTGTGACTTAAATTATTTTATGGCAGACCCACAGAATTTTATGGCCCACCCCTAACCTTCTCATTCAACTTAGAATAGATTGGTTATGTAGAAGTTAACCCTCTTCTGCAAACCAAAAAAACAGCCAGCTAAGGGTTAAGAAAAAAAGGTGTTTTATAACATTAATGTATATTCGATATTATTAGGAAGCCATAATGATTATAACTTAAGTCATTTGGCAATTTCAAATAGCATCCACTACTACTTCGTATACTTTATTATTTATAATTAATCGATTACGTTTCTGGACAACAATCCATCTTTAAAGTCGATCAATTTTACATCCAAATATGTACATTAAAAGGCTTAACAGCCTCTGCTTGGTCCACTTTGTCTGTTAAAATATAAATAATAAAATACAAGGGGTAATAACGATTGCTATTTGTATTTTCCATTTGACCTTAGTGTTTTATGGCATAAACCCAAAAAGTTAAAGCTAAAAAATGTTAATCAAGTCTCAACAAAATCAGTCAAGTTAGAGACTGATCGACTGATCTCCCAGTACTTTCTAGTAGTTGGGAGTGAGTTAATTTATCCCTAAACATTCTTTAGTTGGACCTATGGGAAACACACGAACAAAGTTTCATCAATATTGATCAAGTAGTTCGAAACTTCTACTGAACCCCTTCATCATTTTTATAAAGGAAATTTTGTCATTGATTTAATGAGAGATGAAAGATAAGGGCACCAAGTTTCTTCAAACAGAAGAATTGTCTAGGCATGAGGTAAACAAACAAGAATCAAATTTGTTCATAATTATTGTTTTATTTCCTTCCGATAAACATATTTTACAAAAGTACGCAATCTCTATTAATTACACCATTAAATTATTTATGATTTAATACATGTGTATTAACATAAATAAAAATCTGCTCTAGAATACCTAAATAGGGTTAGAAAAAAGTGAATATAACGAACCAAGTATTACAAAGGGCTAACTACTTTTCAACTTAACTTATTAACTTAATTTAACTACAGTCCATCATTATTTCTTTTTTACTGTGATTTATTGGGGGAGAAACAAAAAATATATTGTAAATAGAAAACAAAGAAAGTAAAACTCACTTGTTCTTCCGCCTGCATAGTAATTAAATCCCATTTGTTTGTTAAAGATCTCTTCAAGCAGGTCAATGCTTCCTAAAAATAAATAAAATAATAATAAATTAAAAACAATATTGTGTAGGCTTGTAGTTATATTTGACAAAGAATACCACACAGAAATTTATTATATACAACACATCCTGTACAAAATTAGGTTTAAAACTACAAATATGTTTCTGTTCACAAATGGGAACTTCGGATATTTAGTAATATTTACAATAGTTTCATTTTGAAAATTCAGTATGGAAGGCTTATGAATGTATCAAATGTTATTGAAAATGATATTGAAGTTGGGAATCCTTTCCTTTTCATATGTACTGACACAAAATTGGTGACTTAAAAAACTTAGAATCAGAGAATTTTTGGAGATTAAGTTGACTACTTCCAATTTCAAATAAAGATTCAAATGAAAGAAAAAACACTAAAGAGTGCAAAACACGTGTGTGTGTACAAATTTTTTAAGTTATCAGGTTTGTTTATTACAACTGAATCTATGTCAAATGCTAACAAGAACAATAATGAGAGCCTGACTGGAAATAAAAAGGCAATTTTTACGTGTTGTAACTTGGCTCTAATCCCCTGAGTCTGATTGTAATGAACATTACATACTTTCTCTTTTCATATGTTAAATTTCAAGCTTCAAGACTTTATATTTCCAGAAATTGAGAAATCTGATTTGTACTTATTATGTTAAAAAATATGGCCAAGCATTTTTTTAGTGTATTTATTAGATTTTCATGCAGATTTTTTTTACTTATCAAGCCATGCTACTACAACATTTATAGATACATAATTAAAGGGTCAAGTGGATAAAAGTGAATAAGGTTAAAAGTGAAAAGTGATATATTTTAATTATTTCCTTCCTTCATTCACAGTAATTCATTAGCTGGCAAAGAACTAAAATGATAAAGCCTTCAAATGACAATACTATTGAAAAAGATACCTTGCATTTAGTTTTTGCAAATCTAAAAAAAATTCCACTTTTCATTTTCATCCACTTGACCCTTTAATCATAAAACACTATATAATAAAATAACTATTTGTTTTATTTTACTACAACACTCATCAATATTATTTAAAAAATCAACGTAAGACTTAATTGTTCTTCTTAAAAATGAAGGAACATATAGTTTAAAACTACTAATCAAATAAACTGATAAAAATACAATTTTTGGGAAAGTAAAAGATTAATATGGAAACTTAACGATGCAAAAAAAAATCTTAAGTTAAATCCAAATCAAACCATTTAGGGATCAACAGAAGAATTAAATAAAAACATATTAACTATTCATTAAAAACAAGAATCAACTTTTGGATCATGGATTATCTAGTAACAAAAAAACTGTAAGAGGAATGATAGTAACAGATAATTACAAAAACTATGAAGATGATGATATGAAGAGCCATAATTGAGGAATGGTCATAAATGTAGTTCTGTACTTGAAGGAAGGGATAAGAGATTAATAATATGAGAGATTAATAACAGCTGGATAGTAGTATGGATTAGTAATATGTACATTGTAAAAATGTGAATCTCTATCAGTACCTAGAAACAATAATTACTAGAGATGAAAAATACGGGAGACAGTAAATAGGGTAAAAAAATACACTGTGATTGAAAAATACTCACAATTACACAAAGAAATGATCTGAAAGAAGGAAGTAAGGTATCAAAGTATTCCTTTCATTCTCATTGTGTTGCATGAAAACTTGGACTGCTCTATTTCACAAAGCTGGTAAATATCTGAAGGGGCCAAATTCAAAATCAAAATATCCAGAACCTCTGAGATAGATCAACATCAGCAAAACTGCAATGATTTGGTGATCTCTGTAGAATGCAGTATTTAAGAAAATTCAAAATAGTTGATTAAGGCAAGACCAAAGTAAAAGCATCCAGATGTATAGGCTTAGGGTAGTTTCCCTTGTACTCATCCCTCTCTCCCTAATATTTGACAACTGACCGAGAAGATAGTCAAAGGCCCTTCATGCCTAGTATGGCAAACTTAAGGTAAAGAAACAAAAACAATTTTTTTTTTAAATTGCAGAATACACAACCAATAATTTAGTTTTCTTCTGCAATCATGATTCCTATGAATAGTTACACAATCAATAAATAAACTCAGCAACATTAGAAATACTAGAGCTATACTAGCTATTCATAAAAATTGTCATTTTCAAATTTAATATGATAATTTAATTGATTTGCTAGGAGTTAAAAAAATATGAATTCTGAATAATAAAACCTGAACTTAAGTGAAAAATAAATAAAATCACTAGCAATAGTATCATTCAATAGTATTTTAAGAAAAATTAATTGAAATATGATATTTTTCTCATAAAGAGGATTTATATAATTAAATTTGTTCAGAATGAAAATGAAATCTCAATAAAACAATTGTAGTAAATGCTGGGGTAGATCAAGAAAAGTTATGGCTCTGAGCAGTAAACATTTCAGAAACCCTTGAAAAAAAAGTTATAAGGAAATTCATACACTGTTACATAATGTAACTTATATACCATAAATTAAACATTATATTTTTAGAATTTTTCCATCATTTCAAAAAATTTTTCCGTTCAATCCATCCCAGAGTAAATAAGACAATATTAAAGCATTAACATGTATTAAGTACCCATGATAAATATAAAATGAACAATTTTATAAACACATACCAGTTCATATTCTTCTAGGGCATGTCTCTGCTTGTTACGAAGGGTCCGTTTGACAAGATATATGGCATATTCCACATTATCTGGATGCCTATGATGCCAGGGCCAGTAATAAGCAGCCTGGAAAACAAATAAATTATATATACAGGGTGTCCCGTAAGTAGAGAGATATTGTTATAGGAGTGACAGCAGATCTCAAGAGCTATAAAAACGTTCATATAAACAATGGGTCAATTTTCAGCAGAAAAATATTAAAGTTTTTTATACAAGTTTTTTTTTTTTTAATGTGTCATGTATTTCGCTGAATAGGAAGCGATAACTAAAGAAATATTTAATTTAAGAAATTACCAATTGCTTCACTTTACATTAGATAAAATTTACTTTAAATGAAAATAGAGCCCGTCATTGTTAAAACCATTTAAAGAAGACTTTTGAGTGGCTAAACTAAGCTAAGTTCTGTTTTAAAAAAAATCATAAAATATGCACAATTTTTTTTATTTTTATCATCATTCAACTATAAGACACAAATCCCACTTATAGAAAATGTTTTAAATCTGTAGTTCGGTTTAGTACTACCAGGGAGCACTAATATCAGCTGCTGAACAAAACCTTTTCTTCAAGCAGTTGGATGTTTGGAGTGCTTTTCTCAAAAGTAAAAGTGATTGTGATATTGTGTTAAAATTCAATAAGGTATTACATGACCTAAAACAAAGTTTGTCTAGATCTAAGGTCTAAGGTAGATCTCAATCTATATTTTAAAAACTCTATGTATATTTTGATGATTTTTAAAAATCTAAATTAAAGTCACAACTTGTGTTTAATTTTTTTTACTGTCAAAACTTGATAATAAAGATTTAAGTCCCAATGATTCATTTCAATTTTTAGGATTAAATATTAAAAGGAGTCAAGGCAGTATTGTTGCTTATCAAAACTCTTTAATAGAAAATATTTTCAGAAAATTTAATATGCTGAATTCAAACTGTAGAAAAATAACATTTGAATCTAAGTTAAATCTTGAAACGGGAGATCCAAATAATTGTCCCAACTTACCCAATAAGGAACTCTTGGGTAGCCTCATGTATTTGATGGTAGGTTAATGCCCAGATCTATGTTATTCTATTGCATATTTAGGATGATTTCAAAATTGTTACTCCTGGATACATTTTAAACATCTTCAAAATGTCATTAAGTACCTTAATATACAGTTAATATAGGTTTGTGTTATAAAAATTCTGGTTATGAAAATGTTGGCATAAATGCATTTGTTAATGGTGAATATGCTTTTGATATTAATGACAGTAAAAGCAAATCAGGAGCTAATGCAATTAAAATAAATGACAATATTGCAAGCAGGGATTCAAGAAAGCAGAGTATTATAGCATTCAGCAGCTGTGAAGGGGAGTATTATGCTTTGGGCGACTCTCTTCTTGAAACAATATTTTAAAAGAAATTGTTAGCTGAAATTTTTAATGCAAATATTATAAATGTTTTTTAAGACAACTATAAAAATTTGTGAAACACTTGAAACGAAAAGGTCTAAACATTAAGAGAGGGTATTGGTGTAATTCAAATTTATAAATTGTATTCATTATTTTTTGTTTCATAATCATGTTACTATAAGTTTTAGAAGCAACGCTGATCAAGACGTTCCGTTGGTCTGTTCAATCAGTAATCTAAGTATGGCCGCTCTGTGTGTTAACCTTCTTTCTCAATATACCAGTCTTTAAAGTTCAATCTAATCTATTTTTTTTTACTCTTTTTTAAGAGAACGGTCAATAAAAGTCAATGAAACAGTGTTCACATGGAATGCGAATAGATAAAATTCATTAAAAAGAAGAAAAATATGATGGGCTTATTATAAAAAAAAAGAAAGATCTTAACAGAAATTTAGCAATGATTTTAAGTAAAACCAGTTAGCACTTTACAATACTTAAGATTCATCTAAAACAGTTTATAATTTTCTCAAGACATGGATTTTAATCCAAATCTCATCAAAGAAGCATCTGAAGCAGCCCTAGAAGGGATAAAGTCTATTATACAGGACCAAAAGTGGTTGTTTTAAAAATATATTTTTCCAACATTCCTCTTTAAAAACCCTCTGAAAAAATAAAATAAACTAATTTTTAAAAACACTACATTAAAAAAAGTATCAACTTAGAAACTTGGTCAAACTAAAATTTAGAAGATATTGGAATAAATTTTATAATGTGATTAGCACATACTTTTTGAAATCTTGTCAAATTCAGTTATTTCTTATAAGCATTTCCAACAATGGTAATTCTTTTACATAAAAACCTACAATTTTCAAAATTTATATAACTCTAAATTCCTTCTCATATGCATAACTTGAGTTTACCAGTAATCAGCAAATCAACTATATTTTCTTTTGTTTTTGGATTCATACTTGCTAAACTGAAGGTACTTCTTTGAACTGCTAAATCTATTCTAGCACCACTAAAGGCCCATTATGTTAAAAATGTTTAGTGATAATAGTTAACAATGGAACTAGTCACTTGATCTAAGCTAGAAGTCAGTGTCGGTCTTAGACATTTGGCACACCGGACAATGAAGTCAAAAAAATTAAATTTATTTCTCAACCTGATTTATATTATATAATAGTTTGAATTTTATTTCATTCAATATTTCTCTAGTACAGTTGTTTTATCAATAGACAAAAATTAATTATTTTAATATGTTTTGTATATATATATTTTTTCAATTCTTAACAAGATGGCGAGTGCCCCAGATGATTGACGCCCCTCTACGTTGGTGCCTTTGGGCAATTGTGCTACAGTAGCCCCGTCCTGAGGCCAGTAGAACTAAGGGGAAAAACACTCTAAAATGCATTGAAACCTAACATTGTACATGGTCAGGGAGAAAAGATTGACCGAATTCAATAATTTGTTTACTTAAACTTAAGTAAACCAGATCCTAGAAGAAATCCTTACTGCGTATTAATTCTGATACATATAAATTGCACAAAATAATACATTATTATTTTGTATGCTCATTATTTAGCAATGTTCATCCCAGAGCTTACCTGTGTATGCGCATACATAAAGCTATACATTAAATTTATGGTGGATATATACAATAAACTTTACCTGGAATCTATATAATGAATTGTCATCTTTAACTGTCAAATTTTTATAATCTGTGACGGGAAAAATATATCCATATTGGCACAGGAGGTTGGCTAGATGAAGGGCTTCACCTAGAACAAGATTTCAATATCAAGAACACAGTTAACAATTTATCAATTAAAAACAATTATTCAATATAATTTGGGATCAAACGGAATCATTAACAACCAAACAGCACTAAAAATACTAGAAGTGCCCACTATCAAAATGGGATAACCCCAAATTCTAAAAGTTCTCAAAAAAGCAGCAAAAAGTTTGACATAGGTAAAAAAAATGTCTGTCAAGTTGATCTGCTTTCTTAGTAGCTTTGTATTTTGCAAAGCAAATTAACGTAACTGATCTTTTATTCACTATTTTTTTCTTGGTCCTGTTACCTTTAAAACAACTCACAAGGAGAGATTATGGATGTGACATCACCAATTTTAATGAAACTTTTTATGGTGAAATTAGGTCGAAAAAATTAGAACCATCTCTGAGGGGTTCTTGCCAATCCATCCAAGGAGCTGAGGAAATTATATATAATTTTATTTTTTATTTTTATTACTATTCTGACTTTGCTCTGCATGGATTTTTAAGTTATTATATATAAATCAATTTGTTTTTGTGTACAATAAGAGAAAAATATTCCTAATTGTAATAAATTCTTGTATATAACAAATTACAAAACTCAGATGCTTCCAGTAAAGTAAGCCAAGTAAATTTCTGTCGCTGAAAAGCTAAATTATTGCTCTTCAAGACCCAATCACACAAACTACTATGAAGAAAGTAAAGTTCAGTCAGGAGAAAACAATTAAGATTTGTTTTTAGCATCCATTTAAGCTTGAAATAAAAATATATAAATTTTTGTACTTAATTTTTTGGGAGAATTATTTTCATGCTGTTTACTAAAATATTCACAACTCATTAGGATATTATCTTAAGTTAATGTTACTACAACCGCTGTAAAGCTAAATTATTGCTCTTCAAAACCATACCAATCACATGAACCCATACGAAGCTATCAGGAAATCTCAAAGAGCTATTTGAAGATAAAGAAAACAACATTGAAATATTATAAATTTTTTGAAAATTACTGATATATAACAAAGAATATACGGGAAAACAAACAGCATAATGCCAGTGACCATTTAGGGTAGAGGCGAAGATCAAATAAATAAATGATATTCAATTATGGTTTATAATTTATTTGGCTATATCACAATTTATTTATTAATATTAGTGGATAAAAGTTTTCTGAAAGGATGATATATAATTATGTTTTCAGTCATTATTTTTTGAGGAATAATATTAGTAAATTTATGTGTTTTTACGTGAGGGAGTATAACTAGTAAATATATTGGCTACATTGACTATTAGGTATGTTTGGATTATAACTATTACAAAACATTTACTTTTTTGTCATTTAGTTATTTGCCTATTGTTTTTATGGAAATATGTCGTCTGGAAATGTTAGTTTATTTATTGTTTTTCCTATATTAAATTGAACTCTTTTACTGTGACTGTTAAATAGTTCTTAATAATTAATAAACAATAATATATTTGTTTTTCTTTACAATGAAAAAAAAAATTATATATATTTTTTCATAAGAGGTGTATTCTTAGTTTTTTCACAAATGTGTTGCTATCAAATTATTAGTATATAAATTTATAATATTCCTCCAAAAAGCCGCTTAAAGGTACTTATTACTAACCATAAAATAACTATATTTAGTGCATATCATCCTATAAATAAATTTTCTTTTATCTTTTACATCCTATAAATATATTCTATAATTAATAATCATCCTATAAATAAATTTTCTTTTATCTTTTACAATCTAATAATAAATCCCAAATAAAAGAAAACTTCAAGAACCTGTACCACTACAACCCATAAAGGGTCTTGGGTACAGTACTATGTGAGCAAGTACTGTTTCGAGGTCAACGGTTGTGCAGGGAGGTGATGGGGCCGATGTCAAACTCAACCGCCAGGTTTTCCCTCTTAATTATTTTTTTTATAATTAAGAGTACCCACTTTATAGAGGCTGGGTGTGCCCCAGGAGGGTCTCCCGATCACAGGGTCGATCCACGGCTAATGAAAAATTACTAGTCATTAGCCGGATTCGAACCCAGGACCTTGAGCTCTGGAAGTCAGTGCTCACCCACTGAACTACCCCGCTCCCCGAAGAAAACTTCAAGAGTAACAGTAAATTGAACAGCCTGCGCACAACCAAAGTTGGATGGTAAATTTGAAAACATAAACAAGGATATACTGAAGAATTCTATCAAGGTAATAATTAATTCGGAATATTCAAGACTGAACTAAATTTTGATAATGTATTACAAAACCCAATGAAAGATCACTAAATCAATGAAATCCACACTTTTTCTTCTAAAAAAAATAAATAAAAAAAGAGAGAAGCACTTTATTTTTATAAAAGAGAACTGCACAACTACATTGGATTGATACAGACACATCATACTAATAAACCAATAGACAATCTATAAAAAGTTATCTTTTCAATATATACAAATACAAGTACATTAGTACATTGAATAAGTTCTCGCTGTTTTTTTAACAGATGTCAACACCACTACAAAGTAAATTTCATTTCAGATGATAACTCAATTTTTGAACTTCTGTTGCTAAGTGTGAGCTTCAGTATATGTTAGTTCGCCACATTGCGTATTGTGCATAGTTCTAAAATGTTGAGTTTTGTGTCCAGTAAAGAGTATTTGTAGGGAATTTTACTGCACTATCTTATTCTTATAAAAGAAATCTGCAAGTGAAGCACGTAGAATTTTTGTCAAGACTTACCGTGAGCATACTCTGTAGGAAACATGTAAAGAGACTAGATGGTTTCAATACTTCCAAAATAAGAATTAGAGATAAAGAAAGCTCTGGCACACCAGAAAAGTTTGATAAAGAATTTGAGAAATTACTTAATGAAGATTGATGTCAGACACAAACTAAACTTGGAAAATCATTACTAGTAGATGACAGAATGGTTTCGAAACATTTGAAAGTATTAGGAATGATCCAGAACCAAGGGCATTAAGACAAGTAAGGAGAACAACTAGCATATTAAAATATAGAACTCCATGCAAGGAAGCATAATTTGTATTTAGTTTTAGAGATTCAGATCCCTTTGCTTTTTATCGATGTATTTATTCCCTTTTGAGATCTCTTTAAAATGGCATACTCCAATACCCCGCAACTTGTAAATGGCCCTTTCACCAAACAAGTGACTGTCATAGAGCTCTCATACTCAGATGTCTCTGATTAACTCCCAATCTCAAGAAACATTCACGAACTTCAGCCAAATAATCAAATGTGGATTGGAAAGGAGTTAAGTTGGAGTCGCTGAGCAATGGATCAGTGTCGCAGAGGAGCCTCTCATTGATAGCAGATTAATCCTTATCTTCTGAACCTCCTGGGAGCGTATAACATAGCCATGAAGGTGTTCGCAGGGAGTCCAATAATGGCCATTACAGTCCTGCGAACCATTAAGTAAGCCAGATTTGAGAGGAGTGCACTTATACATTTATAAGTTTATAAATGATTTAAAGCTGAATGCAGACAAAACTAAGGCTATTCTAATTGGATCTAGACATTTCATTAGTTTCCTACATTACTCTCATCTACTTTACCTCAACAACTGTTCCATCCATTTTTTTCTTACAGTTAAAAACCTTTGACCAGAACCTTTCCTGGAATAACCATATCTTCTTAGATTACTTGAAAATCGATAAATATCCTTAACAACTCCTAAGATTCCATGATTGTATTCCTCTAAAAATCAGACAGCTTGTAACCTCCCTTTTTTTCCCCCATTTCCGAGTATGGTTGTTTGGTGTATGGAGGGGTGTCTGCCAAGTTCCCTTCTCATAACACTACTTCCTTCAGCAAATCCTTTATCATTTGTGCTACCTCCTTTTGTAACTCTCTACCTATCTCCATACTTCAATCCTCATCCACAAATTCCTTCTATAACTCCTATTCCACCACCTACTTCATATTCAAACTTCTGCAAACATTTTAAGTCTACTTACTTCTGTTTACAAATACAAAAGCATCATTTTGTATACTCTAAGCCTGACTAATGTTCATAATAATAGAACTCTGTTATTATTCTTAGGGAGCTGTAGTCCCAGAGTAAAATTATTTTTTTCATTTCATCCATTTCACTTAGGAGAAGGTAAGAACTAGAAATAGATATTGATTGACATGCTTGGCTTCTGCTCCAGTTTAAGCAAGCAATAGGTTACCAGCTTATTTAGATTTCTATTAAACTTGGTCACCAAATCTTCATTGAACTGAAGTTCTTCTAAGAATATACATCCTAAATACTTAATCATACTTTCATTCATCAAGGTTTGGATGTGCTCCCCATTCTCAAGGAAGAACATCACTGCTGCTCTTCTTAATTTAGAACGATATGCCCATGCTTTTCTGAGGATTTATAGCCTAACCTAAGTCCTCTTTATGCTACCAATCACTTTCTGCCGCCTCACTGTCACACGCCAGTGCAGCCTGGTCATCCACGAACCCTGTGGGAATAATAGAATTTGAAGTTGGGCTCGAGCAAGTGATAGATACACATTAGCTCCATGTTGATGTCGTCTTTAATTGAGTTGTTTTCATCTTTTTAAGTCAAAAATTTGAAAGCGGATGAAGGCGTATCTGGAGGTTTATTTCTGAGCTCTAGTGAAAATTGGTTCTAAAAATAGGAGGACCTATTCAAGAGGTGGTTGCTGCCTCAACAAAGTCTGTGGCTACTATAAGAGAGGGCGAAAATAAATTTTAAAAGTTGAATGGCCCAACGCAGATGGTGTAATATTGGGTAGGACAATGCCGATACATGATATTTTTCCTAAATTTTCCAAAAGTTCTACATTAAGTCATAGAGGTGCATGTTAAACAACAGGACAATGGCCTATGTCCTGATAATAAAGTTCATTCTATTTGCGAGCTTTCTTATATGGGTGAAAAAGGTGTCAGAACCCATGTTGCAAAAAAGCTTCAAGGAGATGAACAATAACAATACACTGAGGGACATAGTTAAGATTTTGATAGGTGGCTCTAAAAATGGAATAAGTAAGGTATCGAAAATAAAAGAGGACATTGCTGGATGGCTTACTACATTCAAGAGCCTCTTAACACAAAAAATGTGTATTATTGTGCGGATTTTGATGATACTGCACAAGTCCTTAAATTTTTAAGGTTATTAATGCAAAACTAATGTAGTCCCCAGTCATCAAATTAAATGGAATGAGAAAAGAAATAAAACAAAAATGGCAGACAAGGACAAGTGCTGGATAAGTTTCAAATTCGAACAGAGAACAAGGTAAACAAGAGTTGTCAGTAAGAGCAATATCAATACAATGCACAATATAATTGCAACAATAAAAGGAAAACTGTAGTGCAATCCATTATGAATGCCAATGCATTTTTCTTTAAAGATCATTGAAGTTGATAAACACCATGAAGACCTCTTTGACAGTGAAAATCTCTTTAGGTGTCTGAATCACAAAAAGTTTGCCTCGATGAGAAATTGAATGTTCATAGAGCTAGAGGCTGCCAAGAAAGCCATTAAATCTGCATTACAGGGATCTGATCCACATGATAAAATACTTTGAAGAATCACACATAATTATAGTGATAGAGATAATGCTAAAGGTGGCCAAGGTCCTAGAACAAAAGATCACTTTTTCTCCATAATCATTAGTATTGTCTGATACTATACACAGTAGTAAAGGAAAATGGAAAATGATGCAAACGTGTAAATTTAACAGATTTGATGGGTGGGAAAAAACATAATAATTAATTGTTTTACATGAAGTTATACTGTTGTTTTCACTTTGACTTCCCTATGTATGAAAATATGTATCTACTCTTAAGATTGGTAAGTGAAAGTGGTGTGATGCATGCAGCACATCAGACTGTCATGTTTATAATCTTAAAACTGACTAGATGGAATTGCTACTTAATATTAATATTTATTCAATAAAAGAAAAATATACAGTAAAATTATTATTATAAAAATTAACATTTACAAATTAAATCATGGACGAATAGGTTAAAATTGAAGTGGAAAAGATTGCATTTGAATGAGTAAGGGTTACATTTGAATGTGAAATGGTTACGTTTAAAATAGAAAATGTAACATTTGAAATAGAAAAAGTTACTATTGAAGTGTTTAAAAAGATTTAAAAGAGAAAAGGTTATATTTGAATTGAGAATGCTTCATAAACCTTAATTTCATACCTTCCGTTACACAAATAATTAAATCTCCATAAGAATCCATGTAGTTATGGTGGAGATATAACCCAACCTAACGTGTCAGAGTCAGATGCACTTCGCTAGATTCGGCATTTCATGAACTATGATATTATTCCCATCCACCATGTTGAAGTGATACTTGAGAAACATTATATTTACTAATTTTAAATTACTATAGTTATTAATTAAAATCCTAAAATTATGAGCAATTAAAAAATTATTATTTAAAAGATTGAAAGATGACTAAAAACTCACCTGATTCTTCAATATTCAGATGGTCGATAATCCATTCAATAAGATCGTATCCTAAAACAAGAGAAAAAACCTTTCTCAATAGATTGCTTTAAAATATTTTAAAACAATAATAGAATTCTTAAAAAAATTAGTTTTCAAATTCCAAAACTAGTTGAAATATAAAAAAAGAATTAGTTAAATTATATATCAATCAGTACCAATTACATGTACATAAAGAAACCATTTTTTTTTTTAGTCCATAGAATTTTTTTTTTTATATCCATAAGCATGTCACAAACCAGTTTTGCAAAGGTCATCTGCAGTTTACATCAATTAAATGAACAAAAACAATTATTATCAATTAAGAAAACCTTTGATTATTAATTTTACTAGACAAATAATTTCTAACCTACTTCTCTAGTAGTAAATGAGTGAATTTTGGGCTGATGGCTAAAATATTATTTTCTCTTTATCTTTAAATTAGAGACTGACACACTGCCCAATGTCAGCCATGTTTTCAGGTGTTTTATTTGCAGTAATTCCAAGGAAATGTTAGTGATTTTATAGGTACTATCTCTGTAGACATATTCATAATTATTGAATATTAAGATCAAAATGACTTTTATAGAAACCTGGTAGCATAAATATCAATAAATGAAATGAAAAAATAAAAATAAATAACATGCTCTATTATGTTTATGGATTCTTTGTTGTTTGTAGAAAAATACAAAATGAAAATCTATCTACGTAGTAACCATCTCCCTAGACATACTTTATGATACTGAGCATCAAAGGAGACAGGACAAGGGTCTAGGGCAGGAGTTCCCAACCCAGAGCTCTTGGAGCACCAATGTGCCCGCGTGATGTCACTTGAGCTCGTGAATGTGCCAGTTTATGTCTAACATAACCTTTAGTGGCTACCCCCTTGACTACAGTTTTACTGTTGCCTGCTACAGATGGAAAACTTTTCTATTAAATGTTTAATGTTTATTTTAATGAGTATCTAATAATTAATTGAAAGTATGAATGCTCAATTCGAAAGTTATACTTTATTTTGTATTTCATAAATCACTACCATTTGTTTACGTGGCATACTGCAGATAGACGAATTTTCAATTCAAATGTTTAACAATTCCTTTATTAAATATATGGTTATTTGAAAATCTAACAAGAGTTAATAGATATAAGATTAAATAATAATAATAAATACTATATTCATGATAATAATTATTTAAAAATATGAATTCATTTATTGATATAATATTAATACTATTGTTTTGATTAATCTTTTTCCTGGGTAGTAAAAAAAAATAATAAAACTGTTAGTTACATTTTACTCATTTTATAACTGGTTATAGCCTTTTAATTAATTTTCAATTTTAATTTGAAAATGTGTTAATTTAATATAACAAAACTATACAAAATTAATACAACCATTGAACTTGGTGTCTTCGTATTTTCTATAGAAATAAATTTCATTAGTTTTAGAAATGATAAAGTTAGACTGCTACTATCTCTACACACACACACACACACATATATATATATATATATATATATATATATATATATATATATATATATATATATATATATATATATATATGTTTTTATTCATATTATTTACATTTTGTTTTGAAATACATGAACCTATCTGTAACTACCTACCTACCTGTAATTTAGAATAAACGAAAACATGATGCCTGCCACTTAAGATATAATCTATAAATGTAGCCGCTGATGAAAAAAGGTTGGGAACACCTGGCCTAGGGCATAGATAGGAAACGTGTGGTCTCCATGATGTTATGAGCGGCTTTCATGAATATCATCAGTATTAATCAATATTCAATTATATAGATTACAACAATATGGAAATAAAAAAGTATATCAATGCTTATACAAATGGAAATACTGAAGGTGAAATATTTTAAATATCGATCTCCCTTATCTCTACAAAACATAAATGTAATATCCTTTATTACTGTCTATAAAATAATAAAAGAGCTAAGAAAACAGAGTTTTTTAAAGAAGTATTCACACTTTTCATTTCTGAGTCATGGATAGATATGCTGTGCACATAGTAAAAGTAAGAAATTTATAACCTATACTATTTTAGAGTTACTTAAGATGACCCTCTTATGAAAGATAGGACTGATCATATTTTGTGTGAATAAACTGAATTTTTCGTCAGTTAAATTACTAATATTTTATCTAACTGGACTATTTCAATCTCCCTTGATATAGTCATTTCAGGTATATTCAGTATCTTAGTAAATATTATTGATAGCTGAGTCTATGTGTTCTAAGAATTCATTTACATGTTGTTTGGGAGCTCAATAGAATTGGTATTGTAAAAAAGAGAAACAATGAAATTATTTCCCCAATAAAAAGTAATTCCAGATTGTACTATAAGAGAATAATGCCTCATAGTTATGTGTGAAGAAAACCAGATAAAAACACGAATTGTCAGTTAATTGCATAAGTTTCTCTAAATGATAATGAAATACCTATAAACGTACCGCTATTTAAAAAAAATTTATTTACCTATGAATGCCGAAGGAATTGATGTAAGAAATATCTTCTGGCATCTCACTGGAACACCAGTTTCTGGATCCTGCATCTGCTTGACTAGTGCCTCCATCTATAAATAGAAACATTCTAGTTATAGTGCATTTGTTACAAAATATAATACAAGTCATCAGTATTCTCATATTTACCTTATGGATGGCAAGAGGCCTGGGCTCCATAACTGCCCAGGGGGGAGTTGCCTACCCAACTTCCATCGGGCTAGCAACCCTCCCCATCATCACTGAATTTTACAACATCAATCCTAAAAATGAAACAAGAAATAAATTAATAAAATGAAATTGTCGTGAATGGACTAATTGCAGTAGGGTAGAGGCATGCCATTGAATGTTACTTTAGATGACCATTTGACAAATACTAATCTAAATATCACTGTGTTATTCTATTAGTGATAATATAATAGCTACTAATGAGTGATAAGAATGTAATCTTCAAATATAACATTTAATGCTGTAGTAAAATAACCTGTCAATCGGTATATTCTGGAAACAACCATGGTTTTCAATTAGTTTATAGGCTTTATGCAGATTTTGGAACGATTCTTTATAATAAAACTATATTTTTATCTATAACAACAATAATGTTAGCAGGATATAATAAAATCACTGTAAATATCAATGTACCTTCAGAGTAGAACAAGATATTGATCACAATACACAGAACCACCCTCGTTCACAGCCACACTATTCTGTTCACTTCATTGAATGCAATATCATTCTGGACTTTTAAACCGAATATAATAATTAACTGATATCATAAAAAATATTGCGAATAAATCCAACTATCTTAACTAATTTAGAGATCGCGAATATTACATAAAAACTTATTTACGTAATTTACTATTTGTAAAGGTTGGTATTGTAGTTGAGTTAATACTATATTTACCAGATTTGTTTGATTAAATGTTTTTATTTCGTACAGGATAATCAATGCTAATTTTATGGAATGAATTGTTTTGATACCTGGCTAGTGAATCCCTTGTTTGTGAATCTCATGTAGGGGTTGTGAATCATCCCCAGAAATTTATTTTTCATTATATTTCGAAAAATAAAATAATTTGTTTCTAAGTGCCTGTTTTCTCAAAACAAATATAGTTGACCTAATACCAAACCACAGGCGGATCTACGGGGTAGGAGACTTTTGGGCTGAAGCCACCTCCCCCCCCCCTCAAAATGGTAAAATGTAACCCTGTTTTATGGAAAAAAATATTTAACACTTATCTCTTAAAGTATTATTGTTCGTATAATTACATTTAATAGGACTTCAAGTATCACTTAAACACCATTTCGTATAGGTAGTATCTTTTTCCTTTTCAAAGTAATTATCGTTATATATATGAAAAAAAAAACTTTGAAGGGAATTTGAAGGCATTGCGCTCTGTAAACTTTTAGTGCCTTAACCTGCTTGTGAGTGCCTAAAAGATGCGGATTAAGGTACAGGTATAAATAAATAAAGATGCGGATTAAGGATCTGTGTATGTTCCACCAGGACACTATTGGTGGGGAATGGGAGGTTTCACGTTGCCCAAAAACTAAGGAATGGTTAATTTTAAATGCGCAAAGACAGTTACATATCCTTTATTACCAGGCATTAACATAATTGAAAAATTGATGGCACATTCTTGATCGAAATGTGAGAAAACATAAGATTACTGGAAGGTCTTTTGCAATTTTTGGTTTAAGAATAGGAAACATCAATCTAGATTTGGTTAAAAATCTTATCCACTAAATGCTCCGAAGTCTTCACACAATTATTGAATCCGATAATTGCACTTACAATAAATGAGCAATTAATGTTTTTAAAGACAATTTTTTGGGGTATAGAAGGTTCTTTTTTTTTCTTGTATGGTATGTAACTGAGATGCAAAATTCAAGTTTTCGACCACGGCTTTCCCCCGGATCACTTTTTAAAACCCCCAAAACTGCTAAATTTTCACACTTTTTTTTCGGGTTTTCCCATTATTATCATGAAGGAGCACATTTTCGACAAAAAACATTCTATATAGCTTTAAACTAGATTAAATATGCTGCAATTTAACACCGATTTAATTTAACACAAGATTTAAATTTTCAAATTTTAGAAAATTTTCGAACTTTAAAATTTTAAACTATTTTTACCGTTTTATCCTATGCACTTGTCTTTATATCTCCAATAACCTGTCTTATATGATTTAGTGAAATAAATTTGTATTCATTTTAACATTTTTAAAAAGGGGTGAAGGAGGAGGGGAGGTTTGGTGGGAGAGGGAGAGATCACTTTTCACTACCAGAAGCCTGAAATTGAAATAAAAAAAAAAACTAACCAACATTTACATCAAGTGCATACCAAAACTTGTACATAAAGTGATTGATAGTACATAAAGTGAATGAAATTTTCGAAACTTGGAAATGTTAAGCTGATTTCATGTTTATGTCTTCAATTACCTGACTTATAATAAGAGTTAGTGAAGTAAACACTTATTTAAGTAATTATTTTGAAGGAGTAGGGTACATAGATATAGAAATGGCTATAAATAATAAGAGCTATTAATAATTGATAAAATAAGTGAACTAGAATGACTTAAGTCATTTATTGAGTTCGATCTTTTTCATAGGCGCCAGTGCCATTGCCGTTTTTCCGCCGATTAAGTACATTTTCTAAAAAACTGTTTCAATTTGAATTTAAACACATTAAAAATTAACCAGTGATTTAGAAAGATAAGTGTATCCTATAGATGTTTTATTTCAAAGCGTTTTCGTTATTGTTGGCTGTTTAATTACAAATGACGCTTGATTTTCAACGACTGGAAAAAATTGACTTTACTGGTATTTTTTATTGACAAGGCCAATTATTTTAAAATTTGTTTTACTGCTCTATTATACTCTGACTATTATTAGTCCATGGAAGTAAATGATGAGAAATCACTACTAAAATCTAGATTTTCTCAGTATCTCGGTTCTTAGATGAGATAAGGTATAGGCGATCAATCCAATCAATTCTACGCCACTAAATAGGAGGAAAAGTACATACCACATATCCTGGGTCAAGCAACCGAATTTTGATTCAACTGGTCAATTTATGCATTTAGTACGAATTTAACATAAACATCCATAAAGAATGTCATATAATTCGAAATTCTACTAATAATCGTGTAAAACCACACTAACAACTTTGTGAAATATTATTTTAAAAAAAGAGAAATGATAGGTGTAAAATAGATATTACACCCTAATCTTTTAAAAATATTTATTCATTTAAAAAATGAAAATTCTCTACCATTATAAAATTAAAAACTCACAACTTTCACTTACTCCTTTACTTTGAATAGAAATTATTTTTTGGCAATGTTGCTCCGCTTTCCAACGATATATTATACGTATACCCTTTGACTGTTATTTCCGGAGAATCATTTTCAACCTGTATAAGCATTTTTCTATTTTTCTCCAGTTTACAATTATCATATTCTTTCAAACTTCATATTTAGTCGTTTTTTATAGTTACTGTCGATAAAAGAGAGTTCTTTTTATTTTTAAATAAACCATATTAAAGGTACTAAAGAGGAAGACGTATATGAACATTAGGCATTTAAGCTCTGTAAAGTGACATTAATGGCGATAAGACCTGAATGATATTAAATACCACTTAATTATACAATAATATACTGAGTTTAATGAAAATAGTTAAAGCTGATTTTTAAGGAAAAAGTTGCTGTAACATCTGAGGCATATAAAAACCTAAAATATGCAATTTCACTTTCTTTCGATTTTTTGTTTTTGAGCTAGACTGCTAACACACACACACACACGCACGCACGCAGTAAGTGCTGAAGTAATCGGAAACGTCTAGCGGTTTTCTTGTCATTTCAGTATGCTATGAGGATTCCAAGTTAGACGTTTGTCCAGGTGGAGTCACAGATGGCGGATTCCTTCAACTGGGATAAGTGGAGTGTTGTTAAAGGAAACTGTAGGATAGGAAGTAATAGGTTTACGACGAAGGGTAAAGGTATTATGGTGGGATTTATTTTAATTATCCAGTTTTAACACCACTCCAGAGTTTCTCCCGGCTACTGGGCGGGTTCACAGGTGGCGGATAGTGAAACGCCCTGCAGATATGCAGGTTAGCTGCGAATAAAAGTTACCAAATAAGCAGTCCTGGACCACGGAGGGACAGCATTAGCAGGAGTGGGCGCCTGGCCATTGTCAAGGCCAGGTGCATTAAAATACCACATAATCCAATGACGATGCTGTGATGTGGTGAGTAAGTGCCGCCACTAAATATGCACTGCCCCGTACTGCCTTTTACTGTTTGGGAGGAGACTTCAAAGGCTAGATGAAGGTACTCCGAAAATAAACCAGGGATGGTCTAGACTCTGAGCTATGGTGAAAGCAACCAGACTAGGGGACGGAAACCCCAAAATCAAATGACTTGGTCCTCCAGGCTGGAGGTTGGGCCAAAAACGCCACCTTGTAAAAAAATAGCAAGCTGGGTGGAAATAAAGGCAAAAGACAGAGGAACTCGGATTTGGATTTAACTGTCGCTACATGGTATGCTCGTACGCTGCTCCAGCCTGGAAAGATGGCGGAGGTAGCGGAGCAGATATTAAAATATAAAATAGATGTTGTAGCTTTATAAGAAATTCGATGGAACGGGCAAGGCAGAATCGATAAGAAAGATTATACGATGATGTTTAGTGGAGAGAATATCAAGAAGGAAAGAAATGGTGCTGGATTCATTGTGGCAGGAAAAGCAAGACGGAGTGTACTATCATTTGAGCTAGTTATTGCAAGGATTCGCAAAATGAGACTGAGGGGAAGATTTAGGAATGTCACCTTAATATCTGTGTATGCGCCAACTGAAGACAGTGAGAACGAGGTAAAGTTCGACTTCTATCAGGATCTTAAAAGGACAATTTTGGCAACCCCAGGTTATGATGTGAAATTTGTTTTGGTTGATTTGAATGCAAAAATAGGAATCTGATAGACAGTCAGGATGATAAAGTAGAAGAATGTATGGACAACAATAGAAGAGAATTAGAGGAGATATTGAAAAATCAGCAAAGGAGGAGATAGGTGAGAAAAGTAGGCAAAGAAATGAGGAGTGGTTTGATGCTGAATGCCTTGAGGTCCTGCGTGAAAGAAATCGGTGTAGGACGGCGATGTTGCAGCAAGATGAAAGAAAAATATTTAGAAGAATTTATGGAGCTGTTTATGAAGAGGGTGTGTGGAGGTATAGAAAAAATGTGGAGCTATATGAATTATATAATAGTGGAAATATTGTTTATTTCATTAAAACTAGATGCATGGAATGGTTAGGCCACGTGGCTAGAATGAAATACAGCAGGATGCCCTTTAGGGTATTGTTCTCTACATTATATGGCAAAAAAAGAAAGGGAAGACCAAATGAAAAGATGACCATATTATCTTGCAAAGAGCGTATCAGAGCGCCAAACAAATAAATTTACTTGAAACGTGAACCTTGGTATTCAAAAGGATATATTTTTTCCTTCAAGGCCATCTTCTCTTGCAAATACATGTGCGCAATTTTCGCACAAAAGAAATAACCAGCTGCAGAGGAAATTTGCATAATTTTGCTTTACGTGATTAAATGTCTGTTCCAGGTACCCAAATTGTTTGCTTCTATAATCAGAAATACTGGACCTATAGCTTTTCAATGAATCCATTTTTATCAACTTTTTACTATGAACTTATAAAAATTCTTACCATCTAAAGCTGTGAGAGCTCATGATCTTTTTAATTCCATAAAATGTACTTTCTAAATAAGTTCGTTTCTGCTGATTAATTGGCTTTTAAATAAAAACCAAGTCTCTCAGGACAAGGTAAGCCAATTAGAACAGTCCTAAGCGTGCCCACACATAATATTTCCTATAGTGTCCTCGACACACATATAATCAAAAAGCGATTTTAGTCCACTTTCATCTTTAATGTCAATTATTCCTCCTATACATGACATCAATAAATGAAAACCACCAAGTCTCACAACCACATAGTTTGGATCAGGTACTTGACCTCTCTGCACTATGTCTCTAGTTTTAACATACAGTCGTTAATCCATTGATCATCGGCTGGTCATTGCAAAAACGAGATAAAAATGGACCCACTGCAAATCTGTGGCTGCAATATTTCTGACCATCCTGATTATTAATAGAAGAAGGCAATTTGGGTGATGATTTATGGCCGTTTAGAAATACTAAATTTTACCCGGAGCTTTGCTGTGTGTCGATTTTTATCTCGTGTTTGCAATGAATAGCTTAAAACCATGTTCAGTTGCAGTAGTGTGTTAATAAGCATAACGTATATCGCCTTACTGTCTTAGGAATTTTGAAATTACTGTATTCGTTTCGATGCCTAACATTTCAATTTCGAACTTTATCTCCATACATTTCAACGCTAAACAGTTAACAGAAAGTTTACTTAGATCGGACGAAACATCTATGGCTTCCAAGGACTTTAAGATGTGACTACGGCCAATGTCAAACTCATGTTCAAGAAGGCGATAGAATCTTCATGTTTCCTTGTGGCATCCTTCAGAAGTGCCTCAATGATCCTAGCGTTTGTATGATATTCAGGTTGTCCAATCACAAAATCTCTCCGGTTTGGGTGAAAAGATTTTCTTTCGTAGATCATGAAGAATAACTATTTCCATAAAACGCCTAATAACGAGATAAGTTGTGGGTCTCCACGAATGTACCGTCATTGGCACCCATTCATTTATAGATTATAAATTATTCATTTATAGAAAACTGTGCGCTTACTATGAAGAATTTCTGGGATATTGCTGGATTTCAGAACGATGACAATTATCATTTTAACTATGTGAGATAATCTCATTTTCTTTAATGTTATTATAAGGTACTTACCAGGAACTGAAAAAGTGGCAAAGATAAACGCCAAGATATAAGAGCTGGGAACTTTAAGCATAATTCAAAGACTGTGTAGTTTCGAAGAGAAAACAGTTCCAAATTTCATGGGTATGATAATAACTTCCTCGGGCACCGCCAAATTACACAAAAGCATGTACACTTTAAGACGACATGTACGTCTCTTGAGTTTCAACATGTTCCATTTGAAAATGAGGTAATTATTGAGAATCATTAAAGTACCTATGGAAATTGTAATTCCCCAGAGAGGCAAATGGTTAATGTTTTATAAAATGACACAGAATAACCGAAGGAAAGTAGAAAGGCGGAATCTCGACTAAAAAATCTCATATCTAGAAAACCCAATTCATCCTGAATTGAGTAGTCTAGATTGCAAGTCTATTAGTGAAAACAACTATACAAGTATCACCTAATCTCGTCAAGTTGTATTTTTAGGGTTAAATCGGAGGAAACTGGGGGAAATATTGGTCTACGTTTCGGGGATATTTAGGAAAGATAATATAGTACTAAATTCGTAATTGCAATACCTTAATTTTTAAGTTTTTTTCCGGCTCTGAACCACTATGCGGCGTACGATTGTTCGCTATATCTGTTCATCGTTCCTTAAGCAGACGTTATTTGGTACACCAACAAAATTTGTAAATTACAGTTGTGTAACAGTAACAATTAGTATTTCGTCGACTAACCCATCTCTATTTATTATTCGTAAAAAATTGTTTGTAGGGATAATTTTGGCAGAAGAAAGAAATGATAAAGATTATGAAACATTTATTATAATAAAAATAATTTACAAGAGTTTGGTTGACTTCGAAGATCAAGAGTAATGATAAAATTCCAAATCATGTATTCATTTCTTCACTTTATATTTAGGCTGCAGCTGAAAAAAAAAAAAAAAGTATCATTAAATCACCATTACAGTTATGAACAAAAACAAACTTAGTTTCAGTGATGAATGTGCAAACCTCATACACCAAGCTTTTTCTGCTGATTCTTGTCCGGTTCGTCCTACTGATGATGGAAACTGGATGTTGCAACTAAGAATGTGGGAAAGGGAGATACCTTTAGAACAACCTTCTCACAGTATGCCATAAATAGCGAAGTAGAGGGTAATAAATAAAATTGATTCGTATTTCAATGGTGAGAATGGCTTGTGATTTTTTATATTAAGGTAAGCGAAGTGAGCAAATTGAGTGTAAGATTAAGGAAAGCTCAAATTCAAGTCTCTACAATACTCGATGACCGAATTATAGAGATTTGACCAAGAGCGTCACTTTGCGGCATCCTCAGCACCCTCCAGCCAACACCTAAACACCAACACCATTCGTAGGCGAAAATTACCTAGTCATTAGGACCTTCTAGACAACAAGCAGAAAGAAAAAAAACGGTGTACAACTTTTTTATACTCAACCCACTCACAGGTGTCTCCAAACATTTTGACCCGCAGGCTGCATTAAGACCACCAATAAGTACCGCGGGACTTGGCTAGTGATGAAAAAATATGGATTGTGGTGATAAAAAAATATTCTGTCCTATAAATGACACTTCAGTTGTGATATAAACTTTTTAAGAGAGACAACTCAATAAATATTAAAATATCCGCATGTTTGAGTAAACAATGAAGCTTTCGCGGGTCGGATTGGAGATGCTGGCGGGCCGTAGTTTGGCGATATCTGGTCTAATCGGTCATTATTGCTTTCCTAGCAGTTCCTTACTTATAGTTTTAATTGTTGCTTAATCCAATGCTTTAGAATTCCAATGATTGCTCTTTTCCATTTCGTCTAGGTAAAATGATGACAAAATATACAGACCGTATGTGGAATTGAATTTTTGAAGTTGATAATGATATCATTAACTGGTTTTTCACTATGTGAGTATATCCATACATCAAGTAATCATTCACAGAAGTTGAGAGAGAATCACACGTTGAACAGCATCTGAATCAACTGTTTTAGTGTTTTTTGTCTTAACAATCAATAAGTACGTAAAAATCGAGACAAACACGAAAGTCCAGGTAGCGTTTTAAAAAACATCTAATGCAACTATGTTGCTGACAGAATTTTAACTGTTTCAGCCGTTAGAGTTCTAAAGCAGATAATGTTGCATTATTTAATGCATCGCCTTAGGGACAGAAAACGACAATGTTTTAGGATAAAGTGAAAAAAATCTAAGCGACTTGGAACTCGATAAGATGGAAGTATTGCTTAAATACAAAAATGAGCAGTTGCTGGAAACATGCAAGGGACACTTTCATGAACTAATAAAATTTTTGAGACTGGATGAGATACCTTGGAAGTTTCGTGAGCGAGATTAGTGAAGGCATTGTAAAGGTTAGATGACACTCGCTTTTGCCTGCGGAATGGGTAACAATGGTTCATTAGGGCCATTTTGGATCCTAGGAAAATTCTTAGGTGTTTCTTGAGCTTGTGTGAAAGAAGTTAATTTACAGATATATGGACAGCTTGTAATACAAAACTGAATCATTTTTCTTTATTTACCTTCTACGGTTTGTGGGATTGGTTGTTCAGCTTGTGGTGGGGGTGGAGGCTGTTCCGCCGGCGGCGCAGCTGGCTGCTCTGGTGCCAGGGGCTGCTGTTCGACTTGCTGTTCCGCTGGTGGAGGCTGGTCTCCTGCGGGTGGCTGGTCTCCTGGGGCTGGTTGGGCTGGTTGTGCTGGTTGTGCTGGTTGTTCCGGGCCGGGAGTGCTTTCAGCAGCCGGGCTTTCTCCTTGTGGTGCTTTCTCCGCCGCAGCCCCTTCTCCTGCCTGTTCTCCTTTTGCCTCTCCCTCAACAGGAGCGCCAGCCACTCCTAATAATTGGGATTAATACAGCATTTTCATTAATAATTTCTTATTTTGGATCTTAATATCAACATACACCGTTCTATCAACATTTTTCGAAAAATAGTGTTATTAGTAATAATTTCTTAGGTGAGAGTTTAGATATTGAGATTATTATTTATATAAAAGTTCGATATCTTCCCGTAAGAATAAATAAACCACTTGAAGGAAAAACTAATAAAGTCTTGGCATAGTTGGGAATCAGTACGTCCAAGAAAATCTACAGTGCCAAGGTTGTCCTGGGATCAATGAAAGAAAGGTTATTGATATAAACTTGGAAAGTAACACACATGTGAACCATTGGTTTGTTTTAATATACGAGATTTACTTCCTTTTAGAATGCTCAATTCAAATTATAACAAAAATATCATAGTTAAAGAGACCAAGATTAATCCAATAATCGTAATTGAGTATAATATTATGTTTGTTAGAACTGAAGTTGATAATTTAGGCTTATTGGATCATCCACATAACATTTTTCTCACAAATAGCAGGGCTAAGTACTCTTAGTCCAAGTATTGTCAGGAGCCAATTCGTTTTAAGATTTATTGTTGCTTCCCACCAGGGATGGGCTGTAGGAACTTCGGTAAATGGCCATGTCGTCTGCATACAAGGATTTTTCAGCTGATAGTTAAGGGAGGTCGTACATGTACAGGTTAAAGAGAATATGAGAAAGACAGTTCCCTTGGGAAAACCAGATGATGGGAAATGTTTGAGTAATTTAGAGTTCTTTATTATGGTCTGAATGGATCAGTTGGAAAGATACGATTGGATAGAATGTGCGATGTACGGCGAGAATCGATAGGTTATAAGTTTAATAATAATCCATTATGCCATATAGTGTCGAATGCTTTTCAATATCCAGTAAGATCATCCCAGAGGGTTTTTTCATTAAACCCTGCTTTGCTGTAATTAGTTATTCTGACTAACTGGGCTACAGTGGAATGATGAGTCCGAATTGTTCGTTAGTCTCAATGTTGTTGAGGTTGATTTATTCTGATAGCAATACGGACCATGTAGATCTTTTGCCGCCTTAACAAGCCTACTCTATCTCTGCTGGCCTTGGACTATTTCTTTCCATTTATCTGCACGCAACTCTATTGCATCATTGTTGATTCTATCTATCCATCTGCTTTTTGGCCTTCCACGTGGTCTTTTGCCTTCTATTGAGGTATTCATTGTTACGTAGAGGATATCACATTGCTACGAGCTACATGCCGAGCCCATCTCAACCTTCGTGCCCTCATATCATGGGACATTGATTGACCAGTTTCTGTAACCAGTTTTTTATTGGTCTTTCTTCTCCATGTGTTAGTGCTCTGATCCCAGATCGTTCCGGTTACCGTGCGGATGATTTTCCTCTCAAATCTTTCAATATTTTTTTCTAGGGTGCTGGTTAGTGTCCATACAGCCGTATATTAGAATTGGCTTTATCATAGGCATCGTACACCCTTAGTTTCAGATTTTTCGGGATTTCAATACCTTTGAGATGGAGAAGAAAGCTCTGTTTGCTCTAATTATACACTGGTCTATTTCTGCCCGTTGGTCATTCATTGAGGTTATTGTGGGGCCAAAGTATTTGATTTTTTTTACTCTCGGGAATGATTTCCTTCCACGCAGATCCTGTTATTAGGATGGAATTTCCGGCTCATTATCATATATAATATATAACATTTGTTCAGTCTTAATTTACTTGTAAGCCGATCTGCTCTGCCACTCTTATTTGTCTTGTAGCGAGTTTCTCAATGTCTTCTTGATTACTTCCAAGGGATTCATCGGCTTGATTACTTATATCATCTGCGTATCCAAGGATTTTATGATTCATTCATGTCTGCGTATGTGTATGTATGTGAACAGTCTAGCTCAAAAACGAAATGCCGTACGAAACTGATATTACTTATTTAAGATAGGTATATTCCTTAGATGTTAAACCAACTTTTTCCTTATAAACAGATAACCGGACTTGACACTTTATATCTACGGTAAAACGAATTTTTTAAAAAAGGCTCTAACGGCTAATTTTGATTAAACTCAGTATATCATTCTACAAATAAGTAGATTCTTTAATATCATTTAGGTTTTATCCCCATCATATACGTCTTCCTCCAAAGTATCTTTAATATGGTTTATTTAAAAAAATTAACTCTCTTATATTGACAGTAACTATATAAAAATGGCTAAATGTGAAGTTTGAAAGAATATGACAATTGGAAACTGGAGAAAAAAATAAAAATGCTTATCCAGATTGAAAATGAATCTCCGGAAAGACTAGTCAGAAAGTATACGTATAATATATCGTTGGAAAGCGGAGGATTTTAGAAAAAATAATATTAAATAAATAAAGTTGTAGAAGATAAGCAGAGCTGCGAAAAAAATATAAACAATAATTTCAGAAAATTAATATTATTTAACGTATATCACATGTTTCCAATAATATTAAATAAAATTTTCTTTCTAAATGTAAGCTTTTAAATTTTTTTCTAAGTTCTAAAATCACCGAATCCAAGCCAATGCCATTGTTTAAAATACTGTTTCGTTGTACTTGTGTGACTGTACTTCTTCCAAGAAGAAGTGAAATATGAAAATAATTCATGGATATGTTTATAACCTTAAATACATTTGCTATAGTTTAATAATTCTAGATATGGTATTATATTTCAATAACTATGTATCAATCGGCCGATCATTCCAAGAAATCATGAGGCAACCAATTAGAAAATGAAATTATTGAATCATTTGATGAATTTTCCCTTTGTGAAATCCCAATATTATCCACTCACAATTAGTGAGACAACTTTTGACCTATCCATGGCAGGCAATACAATTCTCGTAATTTCATTTTAGTAAACTTTATAATATAAAATTACAGTTAATTAACTAATACTCCTACGATTCATAACCATTTATAGGTTAAATATTCAGATGTTGATTCAGATCTCTCTAGGCATATACGAACATTAAGGTTGTCAGAATGACTTAACTCCAATTTCAACATTCTTTATCATTAATTTTAGTGGTGTTTCTAGTGGCAAAGTATATACTGTTATCCACAGTTCTATATTTGAACATTACAATCACCTGCTCTGAAATCAACTTGCTCACTGCCTGTAAAGATATAATTTTTTCCAATTAGAAATATCACTAAAATGACTTTACTCAAAAATGTTGAAATTGAAGTTAGTCATTCTGTCAACTTAAAGGCTCAGAGACTGAAGTTATGTGGTTTATAAAACTATATTTTTATTTATTCAATATCATAGACTTTTTGTAATTTTAATGGTCTTAATGATTTGTTATCTGTAAGATTTAAGCTTTACCTCCGTTTAAAATGCACTTCAAAAAGTTTATAATTCCCCAACATTGCCAGAAAATTATTCCCATTCAAAGTAGAGCGGTAAGGGAAAGTTGTGTGTTGCCCGCACCAGATTTTTAGATCTTGCGTGCTGCTCACTTTTCTGGATTTAGCTTGGTGGTCGCCTATTATACCCTCGTAATACGGATATATCCGGTTTAGTAGGATATTGGTCATTATGTTGTAGGCCACCGGAAGGAGTGTTATGCCTCTGTAATTACTACACTCATACATGAAGCCTTTCTTTAGGATAGGACAATTTAGGTCCGTTCTCCAAGCCTAAGGTATCCTTTCCTCTTGCCATACTTTCTGGATTAGTTGTAGTAGCCTGGCTCTTAAATCGTCCCCTCCATCTGTAAGTAGTTCTGATGATAGGTTGTCTATTTCTGAAATCTTTATTGTTAGGAGTCTTTCGATAGATATTTCTACATCCAGTATACTTGGTTTTTCAACCTCTCCTGGGTCAAGGCCCTCAGTGTGGTTCATGTCTTCTCCGTTCGTGAGGTTAGTTTGAAAAATATTAGTTCAAATATTTTTGATAAGATATTCATGACGCTGTACGATCTTGAAATAATTTTTTTGAATCGAATTTTGATTGAAGTTAATGGTTGTTGAAATTGTTTTAATTTTAAGAATCAATTCGTAGTGTTTATAACGTTTTGTTTTTTATTTTTCCTGATCTCTGTTTTTCTATTCATTTCTATTATTTTTTTACTTTTCGTTGTTTATATATAGTCACCGCAGATATAGTATATATCGTCGGCACCATGTTAAAATAGCGAATGTCCAACGTTAAACAAGCTCATATTCGTTACTTTGGGTCAACGATATTTTTTTTATTTTGTTAATGTATTTTTTTGGCCAGATAGGGTTTTTGCTTTTTTGTTATGAATGTTATTCTTAACCTTGTCCCAGAATAAAGCTTATTTTCTATCTATCCATCTGTATCGCTACTGTTAGTGCAACAGGTCTTATGTAAAAGTTGAGTTTTTTTACAAAAGAGCAAAAGTTTCTTTATGATTTATTAGCATACTTTCATATTTTTTTCCTCTGCTATTTTCCTATTTAGGAGACCACTTATAGCAGTTTCAGTCTACTTAATGTTAACTTCAGCGTAAAGAGAATAAACATGTCAAATTGTCACATACGACTTGTTGAACTAATAGTAACGATATATTACTAATATTTTATACAGTAACTATATTACTTACCTTCAGCTGCCGGGGGCTGTTCGCCAGGCTCACCTTCCTTTGGTGGCTCACCATCGGCCGGAAGTGATTCTGTAAAAACATGATCATCATAGCTATATTATTCTATTGTACAAAATACCTAAACAATGTTATTCTTATTCATCAAACAATTTAATAAATTTTCTTAACAATGCCATTGTATTGCATGTGTTTTTTTTATAATTTAGGCATGCAATGATTTGTAAAGAGTCAAATTTGGAAATAGATGCCAAATTTACAATATCAAATCTATTTAGCCTCAATTATGCCATGCTATCGTATTGTATTACGATTCATGATATAAAGGGCAGATCATGATATAAGGGGCTAAAATATTTTCAAATTCTTAAAATTTAATCTAAAATGATATAATGACTTTTTAAATATAAATTGTAATTCCTGGAATAAGAACAACTTTAAAAAACATTTCCATGACTGCAATCAATCAATCAACATATATGTATATATGTTAACTAACCTGCGTGGGAAAGATCCATACTCTGCATACTTTGAGATCTTTTAATTGAAGCTTCCACCACTGGCTCTAAGAAATCTTGGGGCACTGCGTTAACTGTATCAAGCAATTTGTGAAGCAATTCATCAATAGACAAAGGATTAGCTTGGGTCACTGCCTCACGCAAGAACAGCCACAAGTCTGAAATAACAAATAAGTTATAGATTATGTATCATATTCTTGTATGTGTATTAAAAATTAGAGCAATACTGTCTTAATTTATTTATTTTTTAATGACACTTTAGATTGAATAGGCATTTTTAAGTACAAAAAGAAACCTTTCTTCTTCCTAACTGCTGTATCATTTTATTAATGTAATAAGTAATCGGACTGTTATAGATAGCTATAGATAAAATCTTTTAGGGACGAAGTTTGCGATTAAAATTAAAAATAACATAATAAGCCACTATACTCATCCGCTGTACCTTTATCAGAAGAGTGGCCTTACGAACAGAGGAAAAAAAAAATATATTTGTCAGGTTAAGACGTATCTCAGTCAAAATAAGCTTCATATTGTTACCACATAGATTTTGTTGTTGACCGTAGATCAAATTATGTGAAGTTGGTTGGGATTGCGGTCAGTAATAAAACCACAATAACAAGTCTTACCTATTAAAATATAACAAAAAAAAAAAAAAAACGGAAACATAACAGGATACTGGGATATATAAAACCTAAAACTTAGATCCTTAAACCTTGGCACAAAATGAAATGAGACTTCTAATAACTTTCACTTACATCTATATGAAATATATAGAAAAGGGAAGTATTGCGATCGTGAACATTTTCGAATCAAGTAAAATGTAAAAATATTTCATAGATTTGTAAGACATATTTATATAAGCTTAAATACATTTACTGCAATTTAATAACCCTAGATCTGATATTGGCTTTAAATAATTAGGTAACTATCGTTTATTCCGAAATTTCATCATTAACATTTTAGAAAATTAAATTTGTAAATAATTTGATGCATTTTCCCTTTTGTAAAATCATAACATTATCCACTTGCATATAATTATTGTGATAACTTTGGACATATCGATAGTAGCCAATAAAAATCTCGTAATTTCATTTCATTAAACTTCATAATTGAAAAATAAGATTTTAATAACTAATAGTAATACAACCCATATTCATTTATTGGTTAAATATAATATATAGAAAATAGATATACTTTCAAATCTCTCTAAGCATATGCATATAGCACAGAAACTGGAGTTATGTAGGTCTACCATCGATGTAATAAATAGGATTTGCTTTATTTTAATGGTATTAATGAGTTCTTAGCTGAAAGATTTCAGCTTAGGTCCGTTCAAAATGCACTTCAATAGTTTTTATATTAACCCAACATTGCCAGAATATAATTTCTATTCAAAGTAGAGCGGCTAGTGAAAGTTGTATGATGCGCGCACCATATGATCTCATTTATGACAGAATCCCCAACCAACTTCTACTATATATGTTTTTGTTTAAAATATTAATAAAACTATTATCATCCTATATTTCCGATATCTATTTTTTTTTGTATCTTACTATGTTCACAATACCATACGTCATGTATATTATCATGTAATACTATAGTTTAAATTAAGAAGATAGGATGGCCGAGGACGTTGGGACGTTGGGTATTGGTCCAAGAACGCTCGTTTCCGAACGTTTTAGGTTCGATTCCCACATGGGTGAGTTAATTTTCATTTCTCGGCGACCTCGTGAACGCATCTTAAGCGGCGGCAACCTTAAGATAGCCGTCAGGGATTTGCAAAATGGACCATGTGGTCCACTTGCCGGACTAGTTTTCCCTAGGAGTACCAGCTCTATATACTTAAGTACTAATTTGGTATTGTATCGTAATTTATCATTCACATCTAATTATTTAATTGTTCATACATTCATATTTGGTTTATAAATTTTTATCTCCTAATTTTCTTGTTTTACTATTTTTGTTACTGGTTGTTATCTTTTTGTTTTTACTTAACCCAGATGATGGATTAAAACGTAAGCCGAAACGTCAGCATAAAGATAACGTTTCTTATCTGTGTGTAATTTTATTTATGACCGCATCTTAACCAACTTCTCTCACTGAATATCTTTCGTTTAAAATTCTATGGTTATATTGATAAGTAATGATATTTTTGCTTAAGAGGGATGGTAAGAGGAAATTCTCGAAATGAGGAATTTTTAGATAGTTTCAGTAAAATAGCGAAATTGAGTTTACACTCGTACTTAAACGTTTTATGAACAAAATATTATGTCATGAAATAATGACTGAAAATAAATGAATATGCACCTTCCTCTGTCTTGGGCGGTGGTGGAGGAAGAGGCTCAGGTTCTGGTTCTGGCTCCTGCGGGGGAGGTGGTTCATCCTGCGGCAGCTCACTGGCTTCAGAAGCTATCGTCTCTTCGGCGGCGCTGGGCAAAGCTTCTGATACCGATTCTTCTTCCTCTTCTTCTGGTTCCACCTTTGAACGAATGGTATCGATTCAGTGAAAAATTTAAAACAGAAACCTTTGTTTGCATTGCGTTTGCTTAACAGAGCCGGATTTAGTATTCCGTCAATATAAAGCTATTTGATTAAATTAATTATTCTAGCACTAAGTTATTTTTATCCTGTCATTTTAAGTTACGTTTTGAAAATTTGTAAATAAGTATATTAATTTCATGCAAAATATAATGGTTTCTAATCTAGTAAATGGGAACTTAATGGACGATTCAATTAAATTTTTTTTTTTTTATTTCTTTATGACATTTACAACTGTATTACATAAATACATCAAGTAAATTTGGACATAATTGATATAATGACATGAATACACTTGCTGAGTAACTACCCAATGGTAGCACTCTAATGATATGACTACATTAGGAGATCACGGGGCCATCTTCTTTTCAGACGCCTCGGAGGGTTATCAGGAATTGAAGAGGAAGCAAGGTTAGAAACGAAAGGGTTGGGATGATTCTGAAGTTTATTATGGAAGGATAGGTATCTGGATTGGGCCAGATCTGAAACATAAGGAACATTAAGATCTTTATGGATAATTTTATTAGTGACAAAGTAAGGAGCATTGAGGATTTTACGAAGGATTTTGGATTTAAGGATTGGATGCGAGAGGAATTCGATGGTTTAGTGGAGCCCCATAGCTCAACTCCGTAAGTCCAAATAGGTCTTATTATAGTCAAGTATATGAGTCTTTTGTAATTAATGGGAAGTTTAGAGCGTTTGTCTAGTAAGTGCTGAAGTAATCGGAAACGTCGAGAAGTTTCTTGTCGTTTCAGTCTAGTATGAGGATTCCAAGTTAGTCGTTTGTCCAGGTGGAGTCCTAGGTATCGGATTTGCTCAACAGGGATAAGTGGAGTATTGTTAAAGGAAACTGTAGGACAGGAAGTCGTTGGTTTACGACGAAGGGTAAAGGTAATTTGGTGGGATTTATTGGAGTTTATTTTAATTCTCCAGTTTTGACACCATTCTTGTAGATTTATGATGTGTGATTGAAGCATTTGGGATGCAATTGCTGGGTCATTGTTTACTGATAGGATACATGTGTCATCGGCATATGTGGTGATGACAGTGTTGGGATGGGTTGGGATGTCAGCTGTATAAAGTGTATAGAGGATAGGACCTAGGATACTACCTTGAGGAACACCAGCGGACTGGGAAAAAAGGGATGAATAGGCGTTATTGTGATTTACTTTAAAGTATCTATCAGTAAGGTAAGAACGGATAATGAGGAAGTATGTAGGTCGTAGGAATTTTCGGAGTTTGTACAGCAGTCCCGGGTGCCAAACTCTATCAAACGCCTGTTCAACGTCGAGAAAGACTCCAGTACAGTACATTCCGCGCTCCAATGCAGAGGATACTACGTCTACCACACGATGACGTTGCTGTATAGTGGAATGGGAAGTTCGGAAACCAAATTGGTGATCTGGGATTATGTGTTTAGAATTTAGGATAGGGTACAGGCGTTTTAAGATGAGTTTTTCTAGGATCTTGCCCATGATGGGTAAAAGAGAGATAGGACGGTAAGAGGATGGGTTCAATTAAATTAAATCGATTCAAAGAGCTTTGGAATAAAAGGAGATTCATTTTAGTCACAATATAGATTTTTGGGATTCACATTGAAACCTCCTGTCATGCGCACCATTATTAGGTCATTGTTCAAAATTGTGACCTGACTTTAGATAATATTAAATAAACGCAATGTTATTATATGAAATTTATTGAATTAAAAAAAAAAGAAAGATTGCTGGAAGTATCAAAAAATGCGTCGATGTTTCCGTATTTAAAAAATAACTATAAAAAGTTTATAAATTATTATTAAAAATAAAAACATAGATATTGTAATGAAGATGTTTCGGTAATATTGATGTTTTACTTTCAGCTCTTGGTTGCTTGTTATACTCACGGCGTAAAACCCGTTAGTTATCAACGCCATAATTAAGATTATATATAATTATATCTGCTGATTGTGAATAATAGAAATTAAAGCAAATAAAAGGACGTTTAATGTACATTAAATTTTAAGTTATTTATGGTTAAGTTAATTAAAGTTAAGTAAAAAAATAAATAAAATATTTAGATGTGTTGCATGAGAGGTTCAGATATTTCTAAAGATTCCTTCTTTAGAGAGAAAACATTACTTCACTCAATATCATTTTTCAAAGCAGTTGATGTATTTGCTGGAATTCCTCTTTCGTTTAATTATCTGTTGTTAAAGGCACAACTCTCATAGATATGGACCACTGTCACTCTTTCTCTCTCCACATTGATCCCGACAAATGGGCGGGTTTTCCTTTGCAGGGATGTCCATCCCCCCCAAGGTCAATGGCGCGTAAATCACCATAAATCACCTCCCTCCCCTCCCCAAAAATTGTATTACACATCTATTGTTTTTACAGTGGCAGCGAAAGTATAATTTAAAAAATCGTAACAAATAAACAATTATACTAGTAGTGTCTGTCCCATGTTCCCCACGTAGTTCTCTATTTTGAAGCTTTTCCCTCTGAAAATGTATAACTCCGTAAAAATGTGCCTCCCTTAAAAGTTAAAAATCCCGTCAAAATGTGACCCTTCTGGGCACCCACGTTCGTTTTTAATTAAGTGAAGGTGCTTTCAGTTCTTTTAAACATGGATATATCCAGTACAGGCTTTGAGGCAGGGCAACCCAAGCATTTGCCATTTGTTAGTTGGATCCCGCCACATGTGAAGAATTTAAATTAAAAACTACAAAAAAAAAGCTTATGAGGATAATTAATTTTAGGCTACTAATAAAGCAACTGAATTAGAGACATATTAAATGAAATACAATTCAAATATTACTTAATCTAATACAACTTAAGAAATAAATTAAATGTTTTCTGGGGGAAGGGGAGATGAGGTCGTTGCCCGGGGGTAGCTAAATGCCTGAGGTCGGCTCTGGATATATCCGATTTTTTTAAAATTACGAACCATGGCCAGCAGGCCAAATGTTTGCAGACCCGGATATAAGTTGATAAGTGTAGATTGGCTTTCATTTGTGTTTCAAGAAGTTGACTGGTATTCTACTTTTGATCAATACATCACTCATGAAATTCCTGGTAACGATGATTCACCCAGAATGAAATAGTAATGAAAGTGTAAACAGACTCTTCCAATATAGTCCAGTAACTTTACACATCTTAAGTTGCATCAAGTGCTGGCAGAAGATTGCTTTTTTTTTTTTATGGGATGTGACTGAGATGAAAAATCCAAATTTTCGATCTCCCTCTCTCCCCCTATCTCCCTGTCCGGCCAACTTATGAATATTTTCACTTTTATCGGTTTGTCTCCATATATTCTCTTATCGTATACCGGATCCCGTGTTCTATCCTAAATTATTCTTCCTCTTACATGGGTGAAACCAAATATCTCCTAAAAGACGCATCACTCAACATAAATATTCCGTACCCTGCCGTAACTTCACAGCCTCCAAACCATTCAAACACTCCCTCTCCCTGAACCATACATTTGATTTCGACAAAATTTCCATCCTAACCATTACAAACGACTCATCTTCGAAATCCTCCACAGCCAGTTAATCTAAATATAGACATGCAAAACTTATCCTTGGCCTATTTCCAGATTCTGAATTTATTAAAACATCCATAGTATCTCTCCTGTCTTCGATATTTTTCCTACATTCGTCTCCTTCTGTATTTATTTTTTTATTGTACTAGAGGTCTATCCCATGTCCGCCTAACGGTAGATCAACCCCCATTTTACAAATTATAAAAATGAAAAAAGTGTATGAAAGACAGAAATTGTTAAAGAAGAGATTAGGTGAAAACTTACATCCTCAACACACAGAAAAAAATGTAATCTGGGATTAGGGCGTAGTTTATGGAAACCCGCATGGCGGCTGTGCTCTGCGGACATTCCACCTTATATGTAGAATAAAATATCATACTAAAAAATGTTTTATAAAATAGATAGATAACAATGATATCCAATTTTTATTTAGTTATTATTTCCCATCTTATGGGAAAATATTGTGAGATCATCAGGCTGGTCTTCCATTTATCTTTTAGTTTCGTATTCTACTCATTTACCTTTCGGTTAAGTAATGGTACTTTCTTTTCCATATCCATACCATTATTTTTCCATATTATTACCATTATTTCCATTGCATCTTATTTTCTGAATTTACATAATTTCAACTTTACATTGTCTTCTACCTATGAGTATAATATATTTTTATGGATTTTACTTCACCTTCATTTTTCTGTTTACATCTATCATTTTATTTATATAACTTCATATTCCTTTTCTCTATTTTTCATTTTTATTCTATGTTTATTTCACTTCCTCTTAGATAGATTAAAAAAATAAACTAAAAAGTAAAGAAAACCTTACGTGAACAAGCTGTATACGAAACATAAGACTATGTACAAAACACTTAAAACTATGATCAAAGCACTTAAAACTATGAACAAAACACTTAAAACTATGAATAAAACATTTAAAACTATATATAATGGTAGAACAGCATAAATATACACTTTAAGAAATGAAGAACGAAAAAGAGACAAAATAAAATAAGTTTACCGAGAGACCATCGTACACCACACAGCGGTAGTCAAAGTGGGGAAATATGAGAGAGGAAACTAGGAGTCTACAGGTATTTTGGGGTAGGAGATGGCTGAAGCGATGGAATAGTTTCAGGGTGGAAATTGCACAACGGGAGATATGGTGATTCTAGGAGATGATTTGATCTATAAAAAATCTTTTGTACTCCTATTCCTTGCCTTTTAGGCTATATGGGCCAGAAGGGAAGGGCGAGGATTAATGCTACAGTTAAAATCCCTCGGTGATGCGAACTCGTACTTATTTTATCAAATTATATCATTCATCAGGTTGCCATGCCCGCTCGGCCGCCCCGCCCCCCGTTATTTACATGTTATTGAACTATACCTTTATAGTTACCTTATATATATAAACTTATATACCTTATATTACTTTTACCATATACTAGTTTCTCATATTTATGTTATCTTATCTTTTCTTAGCCCTGATGAAGACCTGAACTTCGTCAAAAATAAAATAAATAAAATTTATTTATTTTTAATTTGTTACTTTTTGACTTAACACCGAAACAAACTTTTCTCTTTTATATTATTTTGTTTTATTTATTTATTTTTCTTATCTGTAAGTATGCCAGTTCATCTGCTGATTGTTTATTATTGTAAATAACAGGTGTGTATAAAAAATAAAAGTGAAACAAATTACTTAATATTACTTTGATTATTGTTTCATGTCGAATCCAATGGTGTAAATAAAGGTAATGTGACACATTGGGGTACTATGTCTGTGAGGGGAGCAGGTGTATCTGTGAGGGCATGATGGATGCATTGGAGAACAGTGTAATTAAAAAAATAATAATAATTAATATATTTATACCGAATGTAATTATACTTTGTTTAGTATGATTAAATTGGAGCTTAAAAAGTGTTCAAAGAAAAAGCTTAGGTGTGAGGTAAACTAGTGACATGAATTTAGTTGATTTTTATGAGGGAAGTTCAGAGGGAAAGTTTGTATTGAGGTGTAGTCAACCATAGCTACATCAATGGCCAAATCCCAATTGTTTGAGGGGCAATGCTTGCTGGATCATTTGATACACTGACAAACAAGTTGGTCATGAAGAACATTGTATATGTATACACATTTACACACACACACACACACACACATTTAATGGAGACACCCCTTATGAGGCAAAAAGAAAATATATTCGATGTTTCTACTTCCAGGATTGTGGAGAGAAACAAAGGGCTCGGGGATAATTATAAACTCTTAGAAAATATTAACTGATAACCCGTACCACTACAACCCATGAAAGGTTTTGGTTTCAGTACTTTGTTAGGAAGTATTGTTCCAACGCAAACTGTTGTGCAGGAAGGTGATCAGACCAGGATCATGCTCACCCATCAGTTTTGTCCCCCTTAAATAATTATTATTTAATTATGAGCTTAGAAGCACAGTGACAAACTCACTGAGCTACTCTGCTGTCAATATTAACTGGTAAGGAAATTAAAAACATTTAAGAAAATTAACTAGAAATTAAGCTGAAACTGTTGTCTTGAAAAATTAAAGGTATTAGAATGCCAGGGCGGTTTTAAAGAGAATTTCTATTTGGCTTGATAGAGGATTCTAGAATACTCTAGAAGAAACATTTGCCAAATACATTGAATGCACTGAGAGTTCAACTGTCCATCTGTTTTAGTTACTAATAGTAAAAGAACTTTATTTAAATTAAAAATTGTCTGCAATTATGTATGAATCAGAATAAATGGAATGGTTTCACAATTATTTCAATAGAAAATGGTGTTGAATGAATCACTTGATATTAATGAATCACTGATAAAGCAAGCAAAAATAAAAATCTTACATATTTTTTCAAATAGTACCTTAATTTTATTGTTTTGTTAAAAAACAATTTTAAGATGAACTTTATTTTTTATTAAGTAGTTTTCCCAGTTCTGCGCATGCGCTTGATTTGAATACCCACATTTCACGTCGTGTCCCACAGTTTTACTATTTTTTAGTAGAATAAGTGCTCAGTTTTACTTTTTTTAAAAAAAAACTAGTTAAGCAGACATCAAAACAACAACAATGGACTAACACCACAGTGAGTAGTGTTGTTATTTACTATGTACTATTACAGACAGTGAATTTAGTGGTTTAGCGTCTATAGGCTTAATCTCTATAGTCATAACAGCTGACGACTCCCCACTATCTATCTAAGTCTTATTGCCATCACTTACCACGCTGCGTGAAATGTGGTAAAACACACAAGTCTGGCGAGTGTAACAAACCAATTACAGAACCAGCAGTCTGTGCCCTATGCCTGGAAGGCCATCCAGCCAACTACAAAGGCTGCCAAATTTATAAAAATCTTAAAGCGAGATATATGAAACCCAGGGACCCTGATGATACACCTAAACCAAGACGAGGACCCGCTAAAATTGTGAACTCTAAGGTTTCTTTTGCCAAGCTACTTGGGGGTAGAGACCCGACTAATGAATGTGAGGCCCTGCCGCAAGAACAAACTCAACCCCAATCTCAATACTGATCACTCCTCAAAAATCCTTAAGAAACATAATTTACCTCAACACCTCCTTGACCTAATCCACATAAAACGCCGTGCCAGATTATTATGGCAACGTACCAGACATCCAGCCGACCGCCACTCCTACAATTATCACTGTAAAAAATTAAAACAAGAATTAGCCACCTTCAGATCCCAATCATTCAATTCCTACCTCACCACATTCTCTGCTCATGATAATTCCCTTTGGAATATCACCAGAAAAATCCTCAAATCCCATCATATTTCCCACCCTCTTCGACGAGATGATGGCTCCTGGGCAGCATCTGATGAAGATAAAGCCGAGGAATTTGCCAAACACCTTTCCTATACTTTCGCTAATCATCCAGAATCCCATCCCAGCCACACAGTAAAAGTAGAAGAATCCCTCTCAATACCTATTCCACTCTCCTTACCACCTAAAGCTGTTAATCCCTCTGAGGTCAAATACCTTTTACGGAAAATCACTCCTCGCAAATCTCCTGGATATGACCTTCTAACCCCACAGATCCTTCGACAACTTCCATCTAAAGCCATCATATTTCTTACATATATATACAATTGCATCCTACGAACTACCCACTTCCCTCTTTTATGGAAACATTCCACCATCGTCCTCTTCTTGAAACCAGGCAAACCTTCCAACAATACAGCATCCTATAGACCAATTAGCCTACTCCCAATCCTCTCAAAAATTTTTGAAAAGATCCTACTGAAACGAATCCTACCTATAATTGAATCCTATAACCTTCCTACTCATCAATTCGGATTTCGTTCCCAACATTCCATTGTCCAGCAAGGACTCCGAGTTGTTGACCATATATCCTCAACCCTAGAAAGCAAGCAGTATTGCTCGGGTGCATTTCTGGACATAGCGCAAGCTTTTGACCGGGTATGGCAAGCCGGATTACTCTTCAAGCTTAAAATCCATCTACCACAGTCCTTATACCTAGTACTCCGATCCTATCTTTCCGACCGCTCCTTCCGAGTTCGCTGTGGCACCGAATTCTCCGACTGTTACTCAATTGAGGCTGGCGTTCCTCAAGGCAGCGTCTTGGGCCCCATCCTTTACATTCTCTTTACCGCTGATATTCCTGTCCATCCCGATACCCTCCTGGCAACTTTCGCTGATGACACTGCTATCCTTTCTTCCAACTCAGATCCTGAAACAGCGTCCGCAAACTTACAAAGGCACCTCTTCCTGATTGAACACTGGTGTAAGAAATGGCGCATTAAGGTAAACGAATCTAAATGTAAACACATTACCTTCACCCTTCGGCGTAATACCTGCCCACCAGTTTATTTTAACTCCATCCAGCTTCCTTTCTCAGATACAGTCCGGTATCTTGGCTTTCTCTTAGACAGACGACTAACATGGAATCCCCATACTCGACTTAAAAGACAGGAACTTAACAGACGATATGGCCAGCTATATAGACTACTGAATAGAAAATCTAAACTTTCTGGTGAAAACAAATTACTGATCTACAAGACAATACTGAAACCCATCTGGACTTACGGACTAGAACTATGGGGAACAGCCAAATTTTCTAACATCAAACGCATTCAATCCTTTCAGTCTAAAGTCCTCCGTACAATAGTCAATGCTCCCTTCTATGTAACCAATAAAACCCTACACCATGACCTTAATATCCCATTTATTCTTGATCTTATCCCAGCCAAATTTTCCAAATTTCACTAGAACCTTTCTCATCACCCAAATCCCGTTGTACAATCCCTATCAAGCACCACCCATCCCTACAATCCCCTTCGTAGGTTAAAGCGGCAGTGGCCACGAGACCTTTTGTAAATATGGATATTTTGGAGTTCTAGCAATGGCCAGATTCTCCACTCAAGTCATGAGTGTCTGTGGCTGTAGCGCTCTTACTCATCCTCCGCTGGTTTAAAATACCAGTGAAGTGGCTGAGGGAGAAGCGTAGGGATCTCCTAAGCCTCCCTTTTCCCTCCACATGTGGAGGGGACAGGATTGGTTCGGAGATCACCTGGCAAATTGTAAATAATGTATATAGGTATGTTTTATATAAGGTGTTTGTTTTACTTTTATTTCTATTTTTATTTACTTATGTGTATATATATATATTTTTTTTTTCTTTACTCTTTTGTTCTTTTTTTCTTATTCTTTTGCTATTACTTTATTTATTTATATTTTTGTATATACGGTATGAATGCAATCTCTGAACTCTATTATAAGTGTCCTTAAACTGTGACAAATTGTAATATTTCTGAATAAAGTGTTTTAATAATCTAAAAATTAAGTAGTTTTCATGTCCACTTTATTTCCTGTTTATTTAATTAATACATATAACTCTCTCTATATGTACATACATATGTATACACATTTACTAATATATATATATATTTTTATTTTTTTTTATTTGGTCATACAGGAATAATATCATGCATTGCCCCTGCTTGTGTATCATTTCACTGAAAAAAAAAGAAGACTTAATTAAGAGGAAAGGTGTCAGGAATACAAGCTGAATGAAACTTATCATATATATTTCAGACAAAAGATAACATATAAAATATCATTTACGGGTGGTTGGATTTTCATTCTGTTTTGTTTTGTTTTTTTTTATTATATATTTTAAACATGCTTTGGATTCCACAAGAAATAAGGGGTCATGCTCGAACTTGTTCTTACTTCACAATTACACGAGGTGTGGAGAGGATACAAAAATCTTAAAATTTTACATATAACAGAAAACAACAAGGACGTACAACAGAAGGACATAATATCCATTAAGGGATGGTTTGTTCTCCATGCGCTTCATGCTTCTACCTTTGCTTTTTCATCCTTCTTGGACCAGTCGACAATGCCTCCTTTTTTCTGTAAAATATTAGAACAGAGATAAGCTAACATAAATTTGGAGGTGCAAATATAAAACTGTAAAAATAATAATAAACTTTAATTTATTTGGATTTCCAACTTTTGCAAAATAGTTATAAAAATTAACTGATTTGTTTAAAGAATTTACATTTTTTTTTAAATATTTAACTGCCCAAAATTATCTAATATTAAAAATGTCATTAGCTATGATATGCAATTGGATAATTATAATTTTTTTATATAAATATGCAACATCTTAATTTTTTAACAGAAAGTTAAAATAAACATATAAAATACTTTTATATCTATTAAATATTAAGCAAACAATACTATGTGTATGTGGGCAGATTTTTAGTTAGTTACAAAAATTTCAGTTGATTTAATTTTAAATGTAATTCATTAATTGCATAAAATAAATTTAACATCCTTGACATATAAACATTATAATTTAAATAAAATTTAAATATTAAGTGATAACTTCTAACTAAAATTTATTTTTACTAAACCTATAATTTAACATTTAACATAATGCTTTTTTAAATAATTTATTGTATCTCAAAAAATATCTACATAGAAATACCTTTATATACATTTTTACAATTGTTTGTACATATGAAGTATATAATATATACAAATTCAAAGTATTAGAATTAGATGCAAATAATGTATTTGTGTACGAGCATAATGGCATTATTAAAATTATCATTCTTTAAACATTTTTTTTTAAGAGTGATGAGAGAATGGATAGGATTGTGTTTAAAAATAGGTGAGGAAGAAGAGGGTGAGAGAAAAAATATTATTTTAAACATGTGCAGTAAATCGTTCTGTGAAAAGGATAATTAGGAAAGAAAACCATGCTTGTTATTTACAACCTAAAAGACGAAATGTTAGTATCAGTGGTAGGAATGTCCAAGGTTCCTTTGTCCAATTGTGTTCTTTATTATTGTTAGTTACAAATGACATTAATTTTAAACTAACTTCCAAATTTAATTGGTTAGGCTCCCAGCATTCTTTTTTATAATTGAAATATCTCACCTCTGGTTTAGACACATAATCTAGTCTAAGTGATGAATGGATAAAGTACCTTATCAAATTCCCTTTTGTTTAAATGGCAACCAATAGGAAAACAATTTTTTTTTATTCCGAAAAAACCCATTTACCAAACAGGAATCATAAAAGTGGTATTTTTTTTTAATTAAAAAAAATAACACTATAAAAAAGTAAAATAAGGGAAAACACAAAAAGCAACACATAAGGGAAGTTAAACACATTGACATGGTTGTATTGTAAACATATATTTAATGATTACGTAACATATATATTAGAAAGGTTGAACATAAACAATTCAATAAGGTATTTAAAGGTCTATGGGGTTTCAGGCTTTTGTATGAAAAAAAAAAGTTGTAATGTTCCACCAGAGTTCATTTCTTCTGCCATTCTGCTTTTTCAGACTTCTTGGGCTGTTTTAAGAGACAGGTATGAAAAAATAAATCAGTATGACACCTGTTGTAAGTCACCAGAATGACAAGGATTAGTCTTTTTGGAAGATTTTAATTAATGACTTCATTTAAAATATGGTGATACAGTAACATAAAGATGTTTTCAGCCTTGTCATTCTGATTTGGGATAACAAATATTTTTTTCCAATTACAAATAAATAAGTACTCCATAAAGTATTTAATTATCCAAAGTAAAAATAGTTCTTAATTATGTATTTTTTTTTTAATTCCTTCAATATTCTTTTTTTTTTTTTTTTAATGAGCACAGTGATATTTTATATTTTCTGACTTTAAAAAAACTTTATACTTTTTTTTGCCAAATATCAAAAAAAGAGCTAAAAGTAAATCAATACTTGCTAGAAGAGCGTTCATCTTTGAAATCAAAATAAATATTGATGTTCTTGGTGAAGAGACATAGTTTGAAAACTGAGGGGGGTCTACCTCTTTCCCAAACCAAGTTGTAATTTTCTATATCTATTTAAATTAAAGAATGGAGAATGCGTATTATTCAAAAATTTCCAAAAGATGGAGTTCTGTTTTATTTAAGCCAATATTACACAACTTTTGAGCATTGTTGAAATGTAGTTACAGGTATAAAGTATAAAACCACTTTTCAATTGACTTTTGTTAGGTTTAGATAACCCAATTTCAGTGCTTTTAAAAACTAATCCACTTTTTCATTTTAGTTTAATTTCTAACTGAATAAATTCAGGGGAAAATGTATCTACTGATGTTCTGATTATTATTTATATTTCATAAATATAATTTTTTCATACATTATACTAATGAAGGTCATAGTAAATTGTAAAATATTTTATTTTAAAATGTTTAAACCATTTTTTTGAAGGTTAGTTTTTAAAATTATCTATTATTGTTTGTTTATTTATATTTATACATTTTAAAAGAAAAACTGAAGCTTAGTTATTACATTTAATCATGAATGTAACTAATACTCAAATGTTTTTAATGTAATAAAACGTTTTGAAAATTTTGTAGTAGAAATAAAAAAATAGTGAGATTATTTAATTGATTAACTATCATATAATTACATATGTATACATACATATATCTATATATATATATATATATATATATATATATATATATATATATATATATATATATTTAATCGTGGAATACTCCATATTTTAAATAAATAAGAAATATGAAAATATATTTTGATTCAAAGCTGTATGAATTAAATTTAATTTACTTAGTATTTATAATTAAAAAAATATATATATATACCTCTTTGTCTTCTTCTTCAAGGGTAAACTCCTTCTTCTTTACAACTTTGAGTTGATTTCTGAAGTTGAATTCAGCGGCCTTCTTCTGAAGTTTGGCAAATTTATTTTCGTATTTGGAAACCTTTTTTAAGGTGGGCTTTACGCTGGTGATTTAAAAAAATAAAATAAATTATCAATAATTGATGAGTAATCAATATTTTATAAACAATTCTAAAAAATAAAAAAAATATTAAAGATTCAAATGTTAATTAAGTAATTTTATATCATCTTAAAACTACACCCTCTGGAATAATCAAATAAAAAAATCATTTATTCAATAAATAAAGATTGGCCATTGATAAAATTCACAAAAAACCATGAGAAAAATTGAAACCATTGTACATACACACGCACGTGTGTGTATAAAATCACTGAATTATTACCATTTACTGTCCTACCCTACATAATTACTTAGTCTACAATCAAATCCAAATTAAACATTCAAGATAGGATTAGTACAATTTTAATTTCACTATATTCAGTTAAGTTTATCATTTGAGATTGATTTAAATTTAACTTTGTTTGCTAAAAGACTTATTGTCAACAGTACTGTCTCATGCCATAAAATAGGTTTTTCCTTGAGTAGATTTCAGACATTTTTACTCTGACTATAATTAGAGATGGCACTTTTTTAGAGGAAATTTGAAATCAATTGTAGTTGTCATAGTCTATTTTCATGCCATCTGAAATCCCAACTACTACTGCTAATAATAATATTAATAATTAATTATGGTCATTTTTCATGAGCATTTTAAGTAAGAACAAGTGATGAGCATTTTTTATGCTCGTTTTACCAATTATAGAAGGTCTAGTCATAAGCCAGAAGAGGCTACTTAGCCTCTGCTCCCCGACTCTACTCTCAATTGTCTGTGGTAGACCTGGCAAAAGCCTAGTAACCCAGTCCAAGATGGTGGTAAGCAATCCTTGCAGAGTACTGTGTCAATGAACGAACAAGAGAAAAAGGGGTTCTGGAAGAAGCAATCCTCCTCTGACTGTGACCCCGGGCTGACGGGATCCTTCATACTGGGCCAATCACCGATAAGAAAGTAAATATGATACAGAGAAAAAAAGAAATGGACTCAATGCTGAAAAGCACAAGTAAAAAGGTAAAGAAGAAGAAGTAAATAAATGATACACAGTTTAAATCATTGGCCAAGCTTTGTTTAATTTACATCACTTTATAAATGAAATAATAACTTTAAAACAACAGAATCTTTAATTTTTTAAAGGAGAGTATTATTTTGTTGTAGTTAATTAATTTATTTTCACTTACAATTTTCCACGAAGATCATTGACTTGGCTGTTAAGATCCGCAATCTGTTTTAAAAAAGAATCATATTTTTATTATTATATACCTTATGTTATAATAAAATAAGCCATTCTGTTGGTATATTTTTCACTTCGTACCTCAACTAAATTAAAAAGAATTTATTTAAATTCAAATCTTGATCATGTTGTCAACTATGTACACAGAACATTTTTTCTTAACAGTTTGACAATTTTACAAAACTGATAATGGATTTTCTATTAAATCAATTCAGAATACTGTTTCTTATAATTATTGAATCAATTTAAGCAAGCCGTTTATTGAAACATTTAGTTAAAAGAAAACATTAAAAAGGTTTTTATTTATTCCTGATAATTTTTGTGTACCAGAACTTCTGCTTTCTACATAAGAAAAAATGCACTGTAAACATTAAATTTTACTTTTTCAATTTTAAAATAAATAATTTAAATTAAAATATAGTTTCAGTCAAATAACAAAATACAATTACAAAGATCTCTGAAAAAATAAAATAACTTCTATTGCATTAGGTTATTAAAACTTAAATAAAGTGATAAATTATATTTATTAAAACAATAAAATAAACTCATAAATGAAAACAATATAAAAGAATTATAAGAAATGAAAGCATGCAACATATAAAATATTTAAAAGCATTGTGTTTATATGTATCTTGCAAAAATATAATAAGACACTGCTTAGTTTTACACAAATCAACTCAGTTAGTGATAGAGCAAACTACAACTTGTTTCAAATTTTACATCTAAAATCTCACACAAACACCATTGCGTTTCTATGACAATTATTTAACTTTTTTTTTTCAAAAACAAAAAATGATCAAAAATTGTACAGGATATAATGTTAGTCTACTAAAGTTTAGATTAAATAAAAATGTTATAAAAATACTACAAAAATCTACTTAAAAAATGGTGGTACCTTATTGCAAAAGGTTCATCCTATAATTGGTATCAAATGACAAAAAATAGAAAAAAATTCTTAGAAAAAATATAGGTCAATTAAAAAAATACATATATCAGGTGACGGAAAAAAAAAAATCTGTGCAAAAAATATGGTTAAAGGTGGAGGTATTGCTATTTAGTATTAGTTGAAAGCAAGGTATCTGGTCTGTGATTTTAAAAATTGTTGATTTATTTGTCCGAATGTGCTTTAAATAAATGTAATTTGTTAAAAATTAAATAAAAATTACATACTAATTAGATTATTAACCAATCACATTGATTTATAAAAAGTACAAATATGTTTAATGACAAATATAAAATCAAAAGAATTCATATATATTTTAAATATTCATGAATCAACTATTGAATTAAATTGTGACATAATACCAAAATTAGCCACTGTTAAAGAAAGATGGGTGTCTGCATTAGCTACATTCCAATTCATTAATTTTTTTTTCTAAAACAATACGTCATACTTATAATTAAGAGTGAAATATCAAAATTGAAAAGTAAAGTATGTAATAATCTTTGAATTCTTCAGATTTTGTGCAGTTAGATACATAGTTGTATTTGGGAACAGGCTTGATTCTTAGTTCAACCATCTGTTTCCCCATTTCCTTTTTATTTTTAGTCATTCGTCTTAAATCCTTGGGAATGCTCATTAGTGATATAAGAATATCAAAAAAAATAAATAAATAAAAAATCAAAAAAAAAAAAAAAAAATGAATTCCCAAGTTGAACATTGCTAGTTTTATTTGTATGTTATGTTATTACACATGCAAGTTATAATAAAGTGTTTATCAAAGAGCAGACAAATATAAATCTGATCTGTTACCATAAAACTTTGTTATTGATACAAGATCTTGTTTAAACAGGCTTAGTGCTAACACTGTTACTTTACATTTACAACATCCTCTCAGTAGCTCAGTTATTATTAAAGGGTAATACAAATTAACAATTATTACCTAATTGTTTTAAACTATTCCTTCTTTATTACTAACTGAGGAAGAAAGTAGTGATAGACTACAAGCCAGTGGTTCATATTAACTGACACTCACATTTCACTAATGCATATCCTGTGTTTATATTTTATGTCACAGAATTGTTGATGGAAGTGAGAGGTACTAATGCTTAGCAATAAGCCTATTTTAAACTGCACTGCACTCTTAAATTTTACAGATACTTTTTTTTATGAGATTATCATTTTAAATGAATTTTTAATGTTGTCTTCATCAGATCAAATGTTCAGTATAGATCAGTTTGCAATGTTAAATTTTCACTAACTCACAATTTCTCTTCCAGAACAGTTATACAGATACTCAAAACTAAGTTTATTTGGATTCACTAATACATTAATAATTCAAGACCGATCAATAGAATTATATTAAAAAACATTGATAGTAATAATAAGGGGGAATGGTGGATGGATGAATTTTTGTTCTATTATTGGGTTCTATGGATCTTAAAATGTAAAACCTTAAATTTTTAATGGGGTTCATGTTTTATTTTATTTTTTTCATGGTCGATCACAAAGATTGTTTATTGAAATGATTTAATTAATGGTATAGTTACTCGCAGTTAATTTTTTATTTCATTAATTTTAACTCTTAAACTGGTATAATAACAAAAACAAAGTTTCAGTTTTTAAACCTTATTTCAGTGTCTCAACAATAGGCTTTCAAATTAGTTATACAGCAACAAAAATTTATTTTGAGTTTCTTAATCATAAAAAAAACATCCATTTGAAAAAAATTCCGTTTCCTGGTAAAAACTAAATTGGGAATTTAATACGACAGATAGGTTTATTAAAACAATAATTTATTTTAAATGTAACCCCATTGAATAAATATTTCAGTAAGATAATAGCAACATCCAAGTCTTATTTGATAACCTGTCAATAAAATAATTTCTTTTTTCTACAAAGAATAATAGTAATATCCAAACAGTGTTAAAGTATTATATGATGAATGTCAATCATACTGTTATAGCGAGTAAATTTTAATACATGTTTTGAATTCCTTAAATACCATCCCAATAAATTTAATATTATCTGTTATTTCTTCCATATTTTTTTTTATTAGTTTTGTTTTTTGTTATCATTTTTCTATTCACTATATCGTTTATTATAAATATAAATTTGTTAAAAATATTATTTTTAATAAATATTAGTTTTACAAAAAAATATAATAATAATGAAAATAAATAGAAAAATAACAATAAAATTAATCATTCTGCTTTACTGTTATTAAATGTTGATATCGATATTTCAAATAATGAAATACTTCTTATGTTTAAGTAGTCTGATTTTATTGTCTTACTAAAATTACATTTTTTTTTTTCAGCAAAACATGATATAGAATAACTCTTCACTTGAGAAATGAGTAATAAAATAATCTACATACATAATAAGACTTTTATTTTGCTACCACTATGGAGTAAAACTAGTTATTTGATTAATTTAAATCACAGTGAATGAAAAGTACTTAAGTATTTGTAATAACTGTTTATTAATTACTTAAAATGGTTTGGTTACATTCATGTCCATTTGCCTAGCTAAATGTTTAATCACTTGAATCTATGATTTATTGAATGAGAATATTTTTATCAGATGGTTGCTCTAAGTATCAAGTAAAACACATATATAACATTTAAACAAACTAGAAGAATGTATTATACCAAGCAGGTAGGTACAGGTAGGTATATTTACAAAATTGGTCGACCAAACTTCCAGTTTTGCTTGGATGTGTTGGCAATTTAAGCTGTCCGTACTACATGTTAAATTCTACTCTGCTGAAAAAAGTTTTGGCCAGTGAATTCCTATTGTTTGCAAATTTCTCGCAACTAATTTAAGTGAAGAATTATTACATTGACATTCATTAAAATTTCATAGGGTTTGAAATTTTTATAATGTAATCCTAATTTAGTAACCTATTAAGCTTCATTTTACATCCTATTGTTGTATTAAAATAATCAAAGAGAATATTAGTATTTAAAAACAAAACAAAAAGTTTGCAAACAAAATATCTTATACTGGCCAATGAAAATATCTAAGCACTCTTTTTCACTATGATGTTACTATTCATTTTATATATTTATATTTAATCAAATAACACTAAATATATACATTTATCAAATTGAAAAAGAGTATTTAGTTAAAAACAAAAGAAGAGGTAATGAAACATAAAACAGGACAAAAAAAAAAATCAAATGGAGCGTATGAAACTGGGGTTTTCTTGCTTGGTTCTTTAATATTCTTTACCTCCCAGTCTCGCTTCCTCACTTCGTATTCCAAGTCCCATTTCTGGCTCTCGCATAGATACATTCGGTCATAATACTGCTGAATTACATCCTTTAGGTCATCTGAGCAAATTCACGAATTGTTAGTTTAACAGATAGTTTGACCAATTTCTCCTTATTTTTCGTATTGCTTCTCTTAAATATTTATCATTATTTTGTAAATACGTTTACAATTATTTTATTCATTTTGGTTATGTTTATAGATATATTTCACTGAATTATGTATGCAAAGTTCTTTTTGGTTGGACCAAGTATGGGTGGTTTTGGATTAAAGTAACTTAATGCCAAATTAGTATTTTATATTAAAATCTGAAAGCAATTAATTAATGCTGTTTATTATAGGTTTTATTTTATTGATTTAAAATAAGAGGTGTTTAAGAAAACCTGTTATTAAGAATTAAAAATTGATTAATATAAAGCGAAAATATAAATAATAAAATTAATATGTTTTTGGATTAAATTTTATATTTGTAATTCTTTGAAATGATGTATCTAGTTCAATTATTAAAAATAAGTAATGTAAAATTATTAACACAAAATAAGTTATAAACCATTTTAAATAATAAAAGCAATACTTGTTATTAAACCACTCAATTCTTCTAAAAGATATACAAAAATTGAGCTCATGACTTTTATAAATAGTTTAAATAAATAATATAGCAGAAAAAAAAATTGCAGACCTCTCCCATTCTTGGTTATAAAAAGAGTGATTTTTCACAACTGTGTATACAAAAAAAAAGTAAGAAAAAGGTAGAAAGAGGTAAATAATGAGTATGGAATCTTATAAAAATAAGCAAAATGATAAGAAAAAAAAACAGCATTAAAATGTTTTGAAAGTCATGCGAGATATCATGAATTTCTACCACATCTAATTGATATGAAGCAATGATAAAATTATAAGATAAATATTAATATAAACAATAATAAACTGCATACTATGAGCATTCCAAGGAATGTATTTACCATTGGTGTTATTTTCATCATATAACAAGGTAAAGAAACGTAGTTTACTTATAATTTAGAATAGGAGAAAACTAGAATTCAGAAGATGAAAACACACTTCTATTAAAAATGAAGTCTTGTTCATACTTAAATTTCAAGTAAGAACAAGATTATTATTCATTTGATACCTCAATTTCTGTATTAAGAAACAACCTCTCATTGTCATAAAGTTCCACTTCAAGTTTGTATACCCTGTCCCACAGTTGTTTACATACTGTCTGTAGCTCAGCTGTAAGCGGACATAAATATTATGTTATTTTTAGTAAACTAAAGACCTTACAGGTTATTCATCCAGTCAATATTTCATTTTATACTGAAAGTATTCATTGCCTACTCTGTCTGTTATATTTCTAAATTATTGAATTATCTGCAAATATGTACTTATAAATTAGAAGAATCACAATTAATGCTCGTTTAATCCAATAATTCCTAGATTTTTGTTAATAATTAAACGGAAAATCTAAATCCATATTGGTATTCTATCTGCATTTTGGTTATGTATAATTAGAAAACATTATAAAGGTTTTATCATAATTTATTTTTCAAGATATAATTATACCTTTATTTGATCGCAATGATATGAATGACGTAAGCTTGTTACTTGAACACTTTGAAAATATGGCTGGCTAATCCAGAAATTAAAAAAATATAATGAATATTTTAAAAGATCTGAGGTTTATGCTGAACTGAGGTTTATATTTTGAAATTTGTTTTGATAACTCATTTAGCTAGAGAGAATGATATTTTCCTTAAGAATACTTGAATTGGGCCCCTGAGCCAATTAATATGAACATAAATAATAATCGGAAATACTTGAATGGATAGTAAGAATTCTTCTTTAGTTTACTTTACAAATAATCAAAATTATTAGTGAGCAATAAACTAATTTAGCAACAAAGTACTATTTAAAATTCAATTTTTAATTGTATTGCATTTTATATCCTAATAACATTTTTAATCTGAAGACCTAAACAATCCATATGCTACATAAATAGCTACCTCCTGCAACAGAAAATTACACTGGCATATGTCTTACTACATAAATCTGATATCACAAACATTTAATTAAAGTAAAAACCTTACAAATTTCACAAAGGAGAGTTATTTAAAGTTTTTATCTCTTTACTTATTAGGTTGATTAGTATCAAGTCATACATGGAAAAATATTTTTTATATTATATTTTAACTAGGTACATTGTATATTGATATAATAGTTATTTCATTTAAAGAAATATATCAGACAGTTCTTTGGATACAATCAGGTACTTTTAGTGATAATGAATGAAATGACCTGTGAGGACTAATAAGATTACAAGTTATAGTGTAAAGAGATGTCTATATTGATTAAGTTCTGTTCAAAATTAGTAGGAAGGATGTAAGCTGGGGATTTGGAGATAATATTTGCCTGGTCAGTTAGTATTCAAAACATTATTTCTACATAGACTATTATGTAATATGAACAAACTAAACTTGACGGACAATTTAAGCTTTCTGGGGAACTTTTTCTGCACAGTTTTCCTCCCCATTTTGAGTCAACTATCTGCCTCCTACTAATCATATTCATCAGCATCAATTGATTATGTACAGTGCTGCATTTTTCGTACCAATTGAAAAAAATTTACAATAAAAATAAAACTGTCATTTAATTTTCACCTCAAAATCTCTCATACTAATCGCCCATTCAAGGTCGTATTTGTCACCTTCAAGTCTGCAAATTTTATTGTAATATTCACTACAAATCGTCTGCAGGTCAGCTGAAACAATAATTTCCTGATTGCCCACGAACTAGTAATTCCTACCGATTATTATATTTTTAAATAAATGTAAACAGTTATTTAAAACTTTAGTTTAATCCAAAGAAAATATCATTACTATAACTTGTAATACATTAAAAGCTTTTGATAAATTAGTCATTATATGAAGAAACCCTTGTTGTTAACAAATAAAATACAAAATCTTTATTGGACAATACACAAGCAGCCTAATGATTTGACAAATTTCAAAATCACTAAGCTAATTATGGTTGAATAATTAAGCAAAAGCATCTCAATTTTCAACATGGATGGTGCTTAAAAGTAAATATTTTTCAAATAAAAGTCTGTCCTGCCTCCTCAATAAAGAAAGCCCCTATCTCCAATTAACAAATTTTAACGGAAATAAGGTTAACACATTTTTTTATTAAAGTTACTGATCAATCAATGTCTCCAAATAAAAAAAAAAATGATAATTTAAAATACTTATGAAAGGTTGAAATTGTTTTAATGTACAAAAGTTCATGTTAATATTAATATAATTGGTCTTTAATTACTCATTTTTCTTTTAAAAAAATGGATTTAGTGCTTCATATTTTTGTTGTGTAATTATACTTAATACAGTATAATAATGTCTGATCTTTGGGAATGTTCTTTATGAAGAAAACAAATTAAAGAACCAATAGTAACATGTAATATGGATTAAAATTTAACGATATTATAAATTAATGTATTAGAAAGATCTCTCATAAATTCTTCGTCAATTTAAGGTGTTTTTAATATTTGTTTGTTACATAGAGCCTTCTTTCAGTCAAAACAACCTCAGACTGGTTTTAGGGCCAAGATAAATTTCAACATAATTCATCACTCTATTGGATTAAGGATTTTCTAATGTCAAAAAGAAATGTATTTTTTAAAATCAATACAGAAAAACATAAAACAAAATATTTAGAAAAAGTTGGAGTTAGGGCCTTTTAACTTATGAGGGCAGTGTAGTTAACTATTTTAAGAACTAAAACACATGTGTTATGATTCAAATGTACAGATGAATCAGATAAATCCTCTTTATCATGAAGATGAGTTATAATTAACTATCTGAAATTCTGTGAATTATTTTGTAACATAAAGTTTGTTTAGAACCTTTTGATGGATTCATTATTTTTATAATATATGTTATATTTTTGTAATTTATTCAAATATCTGCGATCAGTGAAATCATTAAGAAGTATTTTTAAAATTTTAGAAACACGTGACCATCCATGTATCCTTCGATGTTGTTATAAGGTTTTAATTACTTTTAATTTACTTTTAAATACAAAATTAATTATGTTTAAATCAATGTTTAGTTGTTTTTTTTTTTTCTACCGATATGCATCCTAACCTCAAGTTCCCTTCTCTCCACTTCAAACTCGATGTCAATTTTACTGCGTTCCAAAGCATCAATCCGCTTGTGATAGTCTTGGCAGATTTTCTTCAGGGTCGCTATACAAGCAGTCACAAGTGCTTTTTAGCTTCATGTATATTAATTACTATAAGGTTTCAATTAAATCACATGTGAAATGTGTCAAAAAAGTGTGAAGTAGGATAAAAGGTTTGGTGGTAGGGCTGGCAGACAGAAAAAAAAATTAGTAATATCAGCTTTTAAGGGACAGAAAGCCCAAACATTAATATTATTCCTTACTTTATTAGTAAGAGTTGCTTCCACTAGCCATATCACAGTTTTGAAATTGTAAATGTAACATGTTATGGTTTTATCTCAATATTTTTATTTATTTAGTATATAGTTTTTTAAATAAATTAAAAGAAAACAAATTATTTAGTTATAGTTATGAGTCCTAAATATATTAAAATAATTTTAATGTCAATATAATAAATAAAAAAGCTTCCCTACCTTCGGTAATGACATATCCATTAAAATAATCAATAAGGCTTATTGAATCAGTTAATTCTCTTTTTTGTCATAAGTAGATCTCCTCTTTTATAATCTTAGTATTTGTGTCGCATATGGATTTTGTGCAAAAGAGGGAGTGGGGATTATAATGAAAGAAAGCCTATTTGCCAAACAAAGTAGAGGACTGGGAGCCTATATCATCCAGAATAATAATAGCAAATATGGAATTGTCAATTGTAAAGTAACTCTGATTCAGATCTATGCACCAAAAGAAGATGGGGATATTCTAAATAAGGAGCAATTCTATACAGATCTAGAAAAAGAAGTCACAAAAGGTTAAAACAGAAACAGAGACATAATTATAATGGAAGACTTCAATGCCAGAATTGGAAGTGACAATCCTCTCTCCCAAGAAGAAATGGTCCAGAAGCTATATGAAGATTAACATTAAGAAACTTCAGGTACCTGAAAACAAAAGAAATATAAAGAACTTCTTAATCGCAATCTCCAGGAAATCAAAAAAAAATCAGAATGAATGGAAATGTGGATGTTCTGTGGGAGAAAATAAAAAATGCAATAATGGACTCAGCAACCAGCAGGCTCAAAGGAAAATCTGCAGCAAGAGGTGATCGAATGGGAGGCTGAATTAGAAAATAAGGGTATAACAGTCAATATCGGAAAGAGCAAAGTAATGCACATTAGACGGGATCAGGAGGATGTTGAAATTTGTTGCAAAGGAGAGGTACTGGAAATGGTGGAGGACTACACATATCTAGGTGCAGTAATAAATGAGAACGGAAGGGTCAACCATGAAAAAGGCCAATGATATGTATTACAGTTTATGCAATAAAGTCATTGGGAAAAGGGAAGTAGAGAGGAATGTAAAAATACATATTTTTAAAGCGGTATATCTGCCAACCCTTATACATGGGAGTGAAAGCTGGGTCTCTTTCACACCAAACACCTTAGCAGAGTTACTTCTAGTGAAATGCAATATCTTTGAAGGGTAGCCAGCCGAAGTAGGAAAGACCGGATCAGGAATGAAAAAATAAGAGAGGATCTAGGCACTGTCCCACTAAAAGATTCTATAGAAAAGAGGCAGCTGAGGTGGTTTGGGCATGTATGTCGAATGAATGAAGACCGTGACACATGAAAATTCATTGAGCAGAGACTTATAGGAAAGCGCCCAAGAGGAAGACCCAGATTATCATGGATGGATTACATCTCGCAGATTGGGCAGAAAAGAGGTATTGGGATAAGGAATATGAGGGCTCTAGCTCGGGACCAAAATGCTTGGGATTCAATGATCAAGGCACCTCTATGCTAAAAGGCACAAAGGAGGTAGAGAAAGAAGAAGAAAAAGGCTTTTGTTATCGCAAAAGCTCTTGAAAAGAGCTTTGAATCACGAGACTGATTGAGAGCACATAAAACATATATCAAACAAAAAGGGGACTTTTTTTTCACACATATCATGTATAATAACAACGTGTTTCTAAATATTGTTATAGTGGAGAAATTGTAAAATGCATTGATACAGAAGTTTAAGATAACTGATAGACCTGATTTAAATAAGATTCAAGCTAACTGGAATAAGCTTGTCACATGTGTGAGATATAGAATTATCTATTCAGATAACATACAGGAGGGAAGAATTTAAGATGTATTATGGAAATGAGAAGAAATAATTTTTCAAGAGAGAGACTATTGAGTCTTATTTTCTTTAGAAAAAAGTTTTTTTTTAATTTTTGAACTTCTGAAAAGTTGTCTTGTTTCTATTTAGTTTTTGTTAAAGTAATTTTCTTACTTACAAACCCATTTCAAGAAAAAATAAATGAAAATTTTAAAGTAAAGTAATTTGACTGTAAAGTATATAGGAATTGTTTTTTGTTTGTTGTAGAATTGAGTTAAGCAATACAAATTGAATTTAGAATGAATGAATTTAGTGCTGTTGATTAAATGATATTTTTTTCTATACTTTTAATATCATTAATTAATAACTATAAATATAAAAAAGAATACACTCTGTATCAAGTGGAAAGTATCAACTGGAAATATTTGTTTTGAAGGTACAATTAGAATTTCAAAATTGTGTAGGAATCTAATGGAAGCTTTCAATTAATAAACCATATTCTTCTCTATATTCAACAATAAAAAAGATTTTCACAATTATATCAAAATAATTTGTGAAATTCCTTCATATAATTATTACTTAATTAAAACTAATTATATCACACTGATAGGTTTACCTAGAATATCCTAATGACAACTTATTTTTGAGGTACTTATTTCATTTAAAAGGTTTCCACCACTTTAATGTTATTTTAATATACTGATGCTTCATTTTCATGTATGGTTTACAATTGTTTTCTTATGCAATAAATTCATTAATAGTGAATAACTTAATATTAATTTTGTGGTTTAAAACCAAAGTATTATTTATTATTTGTGATATAACAAATGATGACCCTTTTGGTATAAAATTTATACTATAATTGTTGTTTGAACAGTTGTAATTGCTCATTTAATGATGAAATCATACATTCAAAGCAAAAAAAAAAAAAAAATTAATAAAAATACATATTTTTTTGCAACCAAAGGGGGTTAAAAAATAAATTAAAAAAAATAATAAAGAAGAAGAAAATAAAAGGTTGGTTTGATTAAGTACTTTTTGTATCATTTTCAATGATTAATATTTAAATCGCATAAATTACAGGGCGATATGAAATAATTAGAAAAGAAGGTTGTTATACCAACCAAATAAAAGTTCCAGAACAGTATAGCCAAATCAATTAAGGCAGAAAATTTTTGGAGCATTCACCTAGAAGGCATTAAAACCAAAACAAAAAAAAAAAGAAAAGAAACGCGCTGAAGCTCATGATTAAATATCGCCACCAATATTTAAATTCCATTTTATATTATTCATGTCACCTCAAAATCTTTCTTTTTTACAACGTATTCCAAGTCGAACTTTTCGTCCTCCAATCGTCCAATTCGCTTGTGGTAATCAGAGCAGATTTTCTTCAATTTTTCTGTAGGAAAATCATTTATGGAATCTCTTATTTCAATGAGATGGTTATTTTAGCATTAAACATCTTTTAAGAATTTGATGGTGATGTGCAATGTTATATTAGAAATTCAATACACACTTACTAAAATGATAGGACACTAGTCCAATCATGTATGGTTTACAGTTATAGTTAACATAATGAAATATTTTGTTCAAGTTTTAAGGCAAGCTAGATACAATAATATTGATGTAATAAAAATATTGAAAATTAAAAAAAAAGGTCATTTAGTTTCATATACTAATTATTTACTTATAGAATTTCAAAACAACTTGCTTTTGGAGTAAATGACAATCTTTAGAATTATTTCTGACATTTTAAAAGTACCACATGTATCCAGATATGGTACACAATGCAAGACTCAGCCAGGTAAAACGATTGACCACAAAGTCAATTTCTTATTATTATTTTTTATTACATCTAATGAAACGTTTTTTTTTTTTTTCACTCTCCATTTACTTATTAATTATGCATTTTTTTTCTTGTTAAAGTGCTTATCATTTAATCAAATTCTTTCGCGGAGGCGTTCAGGAATAAAGATTAGCTTAGTGTAAAAGGGAAATGAATTCTCGTGAATTGCCAGTCCACACTAGGCGAATTCATATCGAACTAGCTGATAATTTAATTAATTTTAATCATGAATAACTTTCGCTAACACATTATTTTTATTTCTGGCACAGGTGGATCTACGGGAGAAAGAGGATGGAGGTTCTCAGGCTGAAGCCCCTCCAAAATGGTAAAATGTAATCATGTTTTATCGAACAAAATAGTGAAAATTATCTCTTGAAATATTATTGTTCACGTAATTACATTCAATAGGACTTCAAGAATCACTTAAACAACATGTCATAAAGGTAGTTAGTTTCTTTTTTTTTTTCAAATTAAATATGGTTATAAATATGAAAAAAAAATGCATCCGTCCTAAGTCCTTCCCCCCAAAATTAAATTCTGGATACACTAGTGATTTCTGGCGATAAGTATAAAATGATTTGTGTGGGTTTCTTTATTAGTTATAATTATATGTTTATAAAAAGTGTATAAAGATCTTTTATAAAGATAAAGTGCAAAAATCTATTATTTTCAGGAAAAATAGGACTAAAAAGACGGTTATCAAACTTTTTGGATAGCAGTCCAATAAAATCATTAAAAAAAATAGTGCCATCCCAATAATTATTTTTATCTATTTTTTTAAATCATTATTTTTTTAATAATAAAATAAAAACCCATACAAGTATAGTAACATAGACACATAAAAACAACAACATAGAATTGTAATAAAACCAATATTAATCTTCTATAATTGCTTTAACTGTATATATTATCATGATACATTTACAACTTATCTCAATTGTTAATAAGATAAAATATTTAAAAAACCTATCAGTGATATGAAAATAGTAATAACGGCTGATATTTTATTTTAAAAAACCGTAGTTTAATTAGAGGGAACCCATTCATGAATGAATTGGCTGTTAGGGCTCGAAAATTTGAACGCCTTCATGAAAGCATTCATTTACCTAGTGTGTACAGGCCTTTGGAGAAATTAATTGCAACAAAATTTTTGTCAACATCTGAAGTATTTCACTTCGATAAGACACTGCCAAACAAGGTAGTAACACAGTAAGGTAATGAATAATAAATTTTGTAACATTTTAACAATATTAATTTGAAATTGAAATTGGAATATTACATGGAGAGTAATTTGATAAAAGACTGCTTTTAAACGTTATTAAATCTATAAATCTCTATTTAAGAAAAATCTTTAAAATCACTATTTTTTTACTACTAACAAACTTAAATAAAAATGTCAAAAAAACAAGTATTTAAACAAGTCTTAAGAAATTATAGTTGTGACCTACATACAAGTCTTATAAACTGACAGGATCATTGTGAAAATTAAAAATGAGTTGAAAGCCTTTAAGACAACATATGCTTGTACAGACCTTCATTGGCATTGTCAACATCACATATCTTTCCACAGCGCTCCTCAATGATCCTCCTTCTCTCAGCTGCTTTCCTTTCTTGTTCTTTTTTCAGTTCCTCAGCAGCTTTCTTCCTCAGCAGAAGCTAGATCAAAGAAAGTTTAAATGATTTTAGGTATTTAAAAGAAAGTTTAGGAACTGTCTGTTTCGTGAGAGTAATTGAGGTGCTTTGAAAACTAAACTACTTTGTTCATTACTGTTTCTAAAGTGAGAATAAAAAAAAAAACAAAAAAAAAACTATCAGCAGAGTATCGCAAACAGACTTCAACTAAATATTTGTAATTACGTGAACATTAAAATTTCTGATTTTATAAAAATTTCTGACAAATTTTCCGTTCTTGACTTAGGATGCTTTTAATATTAGAGTCTTAATGTTACATTAGGAATAATTTAATTTCCCTTTTATGACTGACAACAGTTACTTACTCGGAGTTTCTTCTTCCTGTCTGGCGTCATGAAACCTTTCTTGGCCTTCTTGCCTCTTGAGGCCTCCTCCATCCTCTTTCGGACCTCTGCTCTCTTCCGCTCGATCTCGGCCTGTTTAGCTTTCTTCGCCTATAAAGTGACATCCGAATGAATTGTAATACATAGTGACAAATAGATTTTAAATCGACAAATCATTGAAGTGATTATTTAGCTTACCTCATCGTCCGCCATTTTGCTTTTGGTTTAAAAGGACAGGAACCTGGAGACAGAAAAATTTATTCACTTTCACTATTTTGCTCAGAAAATAAATCTTATAAAATATCCCAGATGTAGTGTACTTTATAAAACCCATCAAATATATATTTTATGCATACTTACTAACGTAAACATGTAATTACGAAGTTACTAACGTAATCAAGATTTTATCAATTTAAAATAGATTTAATGATTAACATAACATATATATCTATCATTATAATAATTTTAATGATTAGAAATAAATCACTTTTTCCAGATTAAAAAAATTTGTAAATTGAATAACAAAATATTCTTAATTTGAATTTCATTGCAATTTTGAGCAAGAACTTTAAAAAAGAGTTTAAGAAAGAAGAAATTACACCAGTTTCTGCATTTTACTTTTTGAACTATACTAAATTAAATTGTAACATACACCTGTAATTTTAGAATAATTATTTTCAGTAATGCTATCCAGTCGTAAGTTATGAATAAAACAAGGTTGCCACAACCAAATTAGGTCGTGTTGGCCGGAATCTATTTCAGAACCTGCGTCAGAACATTCTTTCTAAATTTATTTTTACTGAGCCTTGCATTTTATACTTATAATATACAGAATGGGCTTGTATTAAAAAATAGTATATCATATTCAGAACATTAAACTAATCGATATGTGACAGCGTAATTATCAACTTTGGGTAAATTCCATTCGAATATCTCGTCTTCAGATATACTTATTCATAACTATAGGAATTTCGTACCACTTCTGAAAACTAGCGTAGGAACAAACAAGCTCGTAATTAAGGAGGGTACTGTTGGTTCACTATTTTACATGGAGAAACCATAGGCTAGGGATTATATTACAGTATCTTAACAAAGAAATTAGGGGTATTTACTAAAGTTGTGACCAATGATTAATGTCTTATGGTACTAAACAGTTAGCATGGATCCTTGAGTGAACAACCCTACGTACTATCCTGCCGAGTCCGGCTGATGCCAGATAAATTATTTATTCCGTTACATCACCCGTGGATCGACTAATCATGGTCGAGAGACACTCCTGGGGCACGCCCAGTCTCTACAAAGGGGGTTCCCTTAATCAAGGAAGATAGAAAACCTGGCGGTTGAGCGTGATTTGGGTAAAATCACCTCCTAGCACAACCGTTGACCAATAACAGTACTTCATTACAAAGTAATAAACCCAAGACCCTTCATTGGTTATAGTGGAACAGTTTTTTTTTTTTTTTTTTGTAAAATATAATTATTCAAATTTATAGTTACCATAAATTTGGTCCACAACATTATTTTGAATTTTGACTCCAGCGGTGCCCAAAAGCGGTTTGAACGGCTCAAGTTGCACCATCAAAATTTTTGACTGAGCAAATTTTTACGGGTTTTTGGATTTATGAGGGAGGGGAGGGGGAGCTTTTACTGAACCATGAATTTTCGCAGGAACTTTCAAACGAGGAAGCAAATGAAAAAACTTAGAGAAACAGCTATTTGTTTTGTTAAAAAAAAAAATAGAGTTTTAATAATAATAAAACTTGCAACCCTTTTAAGAAAGGAGAACAATAATAATTTTTGGGAAAGGGTGCATGCACTATTCCCCTTGGGGAGGAGGGGATGGTGACCTCTCACTCGATTATGCATACACACACAAGTACCTGTGAAGTTAGTTTTCTAGGTGAGTAGAAGGGATGAAAAACCATCACTGTAAAAATCCTTATATTATTAGCACGCAACAAAACTTCGGATTGAAAGCAATTGATTTGCAGCGACTTGCCTCACTGAATCGGATCTACAGAACAGAAACTTAGAATGTTAGAACACTCAATAAGCCTTGAGCACTTAATGAACTGAGGCCAGAGATCAAGAAAGGTAGTCTGGATATACCAGCTGTAAGAGTTGAAGAGCATGATCACGACAGGCTGAATAGGGCATATTTAGTAATATGTAGTAATTTTTGTTAGAATTAGACTTCAACCGCGCAAAATTTTATTTTAAATTCAGGTGCATCAAGAAAGGAGAAAGGACCAAAGTTAAACAACACCTACTATCAGGATCTGAAGTTTGTATATGATGGCATACCGTCGCGTGACATGGGGGTTGTGTCGGAGACTTTAACGCACGGATTTAAAGAGAGCCGAGTTTAAAACCTCTATTGTAGATCACAGTCTACTCAGCTAATTAAACGATAATGAAGAAACACTCATAGACTTTCCAGTATCCTGAAGCCTCCCCATGTTATTTACATTTTTACGCATAAAACCATTTAAAAACATCATTGGTTTCTTCAGTATCGAGGTACTAGCCACCAGATGAACAATATTCTTATATATAATCGGCATTTCTACAGTGTCAATGTTGTAAAATCATGTGGAGGACTAGATATGAACTCTGTTCATTACCTTGTTGTTATGCAGTTAAATCAGTGTATTTAAACAGATGTTAAAAGGGGCGGAATTAATCGAATTGTCCAGGCAAAATAATGAAATGAAAATATTTTGGATGATTCACATCGTTAAAAATGAGGAAGAAGTAATCAAATTTCAAAGATTGAAGATGATAATGGAGAAGCTGGTTTAAAAACAATGTAAAAACATCTTCAGTTGGTCATGAACGACCAAGCTGGCTATATGCCCAAGCTGGAGAAGTAAAACAAGTGTATGTAGCAAAATATAATGTCAATTATGAAATGAAGATGGCAATATACTACCTGACATAGAGGACATTGCAGATGTTAAAGCGAGAATGAAAAAAACCAAGTAAGTTGCCTCGGAGAGATAATCTCCTAGCGATAGTTTTCAAAGTGGCAAACAGAGAAGTTTTGAATAAATATCGCAAATGAAAGAAGGTGCAATCCCTACTGAATGGTCAATGGGCTGAATGGTGCCATTATAAAAAGGGAGAGGAAATAATTCTTCATGCAATAAAAGAATTACAGGTTAATCACGTTACTTAACATCGGTTACATGTTCTTCTCTATCACTTTGTATAATAGAAATCTATAAAGAAAAATTGGAGACCTACAACATATCCACTGCAATAGACCTGATCTTTTCTACCTTTGAGAGGACGAATTCGGAAGGTGTGTATATACGTTCTTCATTATTTACGGGACAGCAGAATATGACGCTATTAACAGAAATGCCTATTACAGAGCTATGGGAGAATTAGAGGTACCTAATAAAGTAGCTAAGCTGATAGTACTGACAATGTACCAAGCTGTGGAATAAAATAATGTCCTGTTAGAAAACTGTGTGGACCACCTGACTCCGGGCTGGTGTCTCAATTTTGTTCCGTGTCTGTCTTTAGTCAGAACCATTCGACGGGCATATTGCCTACTACCGTTAATCTGATAACCAGAGTGCAGGTACGGAACCTTGATAGTTCCATATCAATTTCATCTACTATCTTTACTATTTTCCTTAAGACAGGTGTATCAAAAAATTTCATGTTCAATTGGTCTCAAAGTTTGGTGGAAGTTAAGGAATGGTAAAAAGTGATCGAGCAGGTATCAGTTTTATCAAATTCTATTGAACACTTTGAAAACATACAGACCCGGAAACGTATTTTGCTTGATTCACTAAAGTTTCAAAAACTTCGTTCGATTTGGCTCAGAGTTGAAGGGATTTGGGGAAATGTGAATAAATGTTTTAATGTCAATTTCATAATAAAATAAATGACTAAGAATAGGCTATGACATTTATTTAAGGCTGTGGAACAGGTAGAGATGATATGGAGAGTGTTATATTTATATGTCATATGTTATATATTTATATGTTATATTTATCATACTCTAATTATATGCAGTAATAATATTTTGTATTGAATTAAAAAATATAATCTAAACTGAGTAGTATCGGCCTTAATGCAGGTCAACCCTGGCACACACCCCCAGAGGGCTTGAGATGAACACGGGTCCGTTCTACCTCATGTTGGGGATTATTAAAAGTAAGAAAGTCTATTAATAAAGAAATTGAATAAGAGTTATATTAAAGAAATAAAATTTAACTGGAAAGTGATAAACCATGTTCTACACATGAGTATCATTTATTCTCCTAAATTAAATTTATATTTTTTCGGATTTATTTCTTGGATTTTAGTTCATCTGTTGGCAAATAATTTTTATTTTTCTAATATCCATATGAAGCTAATTTTGAAAATTGTTATTCTGAATAAATTATGGAACATAAAAAGCGATCAATCCTGAATATATTTTTTTTTTAAAGTCTGCAATCGTTTATTAAGTTAAATTGCATTTTTGAAAAGTGTAAATGATGAAATGAAGTAAAAAATGTACCATTTTTTGTTATTTAAGTAGAAAAATTTATAGTTGATACGGACAAAACTTTGAAATAACGAACCGGTTAACAATAGATTAACAATCTAATCAACAACAAGGATGTTGGAGGAAACAGAGCTAAAAAACTGGCTGGTTGCCTGGGAGTATATAAATACTCCTTTAGCTAATCTAACCAACTGGGGTACACATCTTGCTCCTCTTAATGTATTCAAATATATATTATATAATATTTTAAAATAATTATATTGTCAATGTATTCTAAATCATTAAAACTATTAATATTTAGAAAAAAGGGAAGCCATCTTAAACTCGAATCATACTCTGATGAATACTGTTTCAGTTTTTGAGGTCTTAGAGAAATTTCTCTCCTTAGATGTAGCACACATTATAACTGTGGAATATAGTAAAGTTTTTAGAAAAATGGTATATTTGTGCTTAAGGTGAAGGGACGTGATTTATTTTAGGAGAGCTGTTCCTTAACACTACAAAATAACACAGAACGTAGAGAAAATAAAACATGTTTCATAAATAAAATAAAACCATCATTACATCATAAAATTCAACCATTAATTATAATTATTATGATTATAAATTAACAACTGTATATAGGGATTGATTTTATGGGTGATAAATATTCAGGACGCAGTCATTTTTAAAAAAAAATTTAATTTTTTATTTATGCCAAAGTTTCAACCCAAACATGTGATCATCTTCAGGGCGTGGTTTGAGCACCTGACTACCTGAACATCCTCAGTGCTCAAACCACGCCCTGAAGATGACCCACATGTTTGGGTTGAAACGTTGGCATAAATAAAAAATTAATTTTTTTTTAAAAAAGAACTGCGTCCTGAATATTTATCACCCATGATATGTAGAACAGTCGACTAACTTCCTTCAGAGAATGATTTTAGTGTAGTTAAAAGTGTAAAAATAATTTCATAATGATCTACTTATAATTGATAATACAGTTCATAACTATTTCATCTGTTGATGAGATAAAAAATTACAATATATTCAAAATCAATTATTACAGTTCAAAAATGACGTTTAATATTTATAACTTAATATCTTTTTTGTTTTGGAAATCCTAGGATTTAAATTATTAACAAAAATAATTCCGTTCTGTTACGATAAAATAAAATGTGCGTCTTTGTAGTGTAAAATGTCTATGCAAATATGCGTTGTAGCCCTATACTTATTAAAACCTATACATCTCACTAACATAGGCACATACTTTTCATTCTGACTGGATGAGGAGGGGGGAGAGGGGGGGTGATAAAGGGATCCAAGGAAAAAGTATATATTTTGTTTAAAAATTATGAGTGACAATTAACTGATTATAAAACGAACAATATAATACTACATTAAAAAAAAAAACGTATATGTTTATATATCAGGTTTTTACTTTTTTTTTTTTTTTTTTTTTGCATATGGGTTGCATAAGGGTATATTTGAAAAATGTAGGAATTGTGATGAAATCTTCATGTGAAAATGAAGGGTGCTCATGAATAAAGCATACATCAAAATCAGGAAAAATATCTTTGAATATAAACTAAAATTTCAATAATAGGGAAATAGTTACTTAGTCATTTAATCAACTTTTAATATTTTCTAAATAGGTTTCAGTTTACATAATTTATTCATACATTAATGTTGATTTTATTTTTGTTCTTCTAAATATTGGGAGGAGGGGTCAATATTTTCGATCGCCCCCCTCGGTCTCCCGAAGTTTGCGCCTACTAATGCTCACTACTAACCCATGAAGGGTTTTGGGTTCAGGACTTTGTTAAGAAGTACTGTTTCAAGGCCAACAATTGTGCAGGAAGGTAATTGAGCAAACGACACGCACAACCGCCAGGTTTTTCCTCTTAACTATTTATTTAATTAAACATACCAACTTTATAGAGGCTAGATGTGTCCAAGGAAGGAGGGTCTCCAGATCCCAGATTCGATCCCACGGCTAATGATAAAATTAATAGATACCAGCCAGATTCGAAACGGTGAGGTTAAGCATAGAAGCCTAGTGACTATCTAACTGAGCTATTCCACTCCCAGGCTATACTTATAACTACATTTAAAAAAAAACAGTTTTAATCTAAAAAAAAGTGTTTACTCATTTGAGTAAATAAAAACCAGCATAAAGTCAAAATCTGTAAATAAAATATAATGATTAAATATATGATACAGTAATTTCATAAATTATTTTATTCATATAACGTAAATTAATTTCGGAATGATACAATATATCAAATCATTTAATGATATTGAATATTATGTTATTTTCAATATTACGAAATGCGAAGGTTTATGTAGAACTGTTTTGCGAAAAAGGTACTATCTTTATTAGAGCATTACTATGAATTTGAGTGAGTAAACACTTTGTTTTGATTCTTCCAATATTTTTTTTCTCGTTATATGAAGATAGGTTTATTAATTACCCTAATATATTAAAATATTAAACAATAAAATAAAATAATGTTATTCGCAATACTCATTAATGTATTTTATATAAAACTTATTAGAATTGGGTTGATAAATGTTTTCTGTTACATGGAGAGTTTAGGCCGCTGTAGAATCCTCCCTCTGGTTCCTTAAATACCCAAGGCCTATTTCGGTATTCAGTAAATTTCAGACGCCCTGTCCCAAAAAAGAAAACAAATTATCATTTAAAATCATCTTGTTTTTTCATTAAATCAATATTTAATCGATTATTATCGTTTTCTGAATTAGAAAATTAAATCATATTTAATTAATTTCAACGGAAAATTAATCACGATATATCAAAGCTATAAGTTTAGTAATACTCGTGTCTTTTTATCCACTATTTTAATTATACTATATTTAAATTGTATTTAATATTTGGTAAATTACCATTTAGGGGTTAACCTTAACTACATGTTATTTTTAGTTGCGTTAATTATTAATCTTCTATCGAACATGATAATATTACCTTTTTATTTATTAATTATGTGAATAATATGGCTAGGGTTTTTCGCACAATCTCTATTCCAATTACATGTTAATAATATTTGTCCCACTATGGCTCTAGATTTGGATGTAACTTGATTCTATGATGTCATTTTTTGTATAAATTCTATGATGTCATTCACTTCAAGTATAAGTACATAAAAAGCTAAGTCTTTTTGTGGGATAACTAAAAACAGACAAATAAAATGCAGATTCTCCCATTTCGGGCATTATCGTCGATGTATCACTTGAAATCAACCCACGCTATAAATAAATAAAATTTTAACTTTTCAATTTTTTTAAAATTACTATATATATCTTGATTTAATTACATTCTCTTTATGCATGTGAACTTATAAATATGTGTCTATTTATTCAACTTAATAAAAATAATAATGTTTTGTTTGAAACATTTAAAAACAAATTATATAGACAATTTAAATGGAAATTTAATATTGTATAAAACTAGATGCTGTCATATCTGGTAAAAAAAATTCCAAAACTAGCTCTAGTGAATGCATAAATTTACTTTTTTGGGAAAATTGAACATTTAGTTTTTACAGCCACTTAATAAAGAGTTAGTAAGATTTAAACAAATAAAAAATATAATCGAACAGCTCGTATTAAAGTATTCTGTTTCTACGGTTAACATTTTTTTTTAGTTTCCAATGGCCTATTTATAAGCCTTTCAAATTCATTATATCTTAATATATTATATTAATATATAAATAAAAATAAATGGAAAAATGGAACATGATATTCCTACCGATTTTCTAAAAATGACTATTCCATATTTGGAAAACGAAATCAATATCGGTATCATTTTACAGCATTGTTTAAGAAAAGCCTGGCATCCTTCCATCACAGGCTGCCCACACACATTTTTTTATATGGCTAACGGGCAATAATACCATAAAAATAATATCCAATCGCGTACAATAAATCGGTTAATTGTTTAAGGATAAAAATAGTGAAACCAACAATGCCCTAAATTTGAAACACGGATTAAACATAAAAATATTTTAATGTAGCTGTACCTATTTCAGCTGCACGGTAGGAAAATTTAAGGTTTTTCTAACAATAAATAGAAACTTCAAAAAAATATTATTAAATTCAAAATAAGGTGTTAAGTGGGACGTTTATTCTGCCGTACCATACTGTCAGTCCGGTTGATTTTGTTTTTATGTCTACTTGATTATGAAAACTCAGCTTCCATCTAATTATAGTACGTGATAAATTAATTAAATATTAATTTTTTCAAATAGACAGGAACTTTTTTATGGTATTTTACAACGATGTAATCATAAGACAAAGTTGCTGTCAGTAAGGTTTGGTAAAATGCTCCGTAGTTTAGTTGTGTAAAATGATATTTTAAAAAAAAAATGATTAACAAGTCTTCTGTTCTAAAAACAACATTAATTACGAAACTTCATGCTTAAGTTCCTATGAACAGTTGCTTATGAATCATAAATGTTCAAGTTCTGGAATTATTTTGGAAGAGAAGATTCTCATTTTTTTTATGTCTGGCATTGATAAGTTCACAAAAAATTAACCTATCAACTAATTCAAATTTAAGGAGCTCAAACTGACTATGTATGTTTATTATATCAATATAATAGGATATATGTATTTATTAATAGTACGCTTATTTGTAAGTTTCAGTTCAAAGGTTAATATCAAAGTAACTCTTCTATACAAAACTGTTTATTTATTTCCTCAGTTAACTCTAGGTTAATATTTATTTTTTCGTTAAAAATCACACTGACAGACTGGACATACCTGATATTACTGAAGGAGGTCTCAACACAGACACCCGCGAATCCTAGGGTCTCACTGGCTGGTGGGGGCTGCTGTTTTCGGCTCCTAGCTGTCCGATCGTTCCCGAAGATAACCGAGCACACAACTGTGTGACGTAATATTATTATTTGGAAAATAAAAGGAATATTAGGAAGTTATCTGTAATCGATAAATCGCCTGTTACTAACTAGAAGATATTTAGAAGAAAGAATGGATTAAGATGGAAAAGCAATGAAGTTCATTAAAAATTTTATAAACGATAGAATACAAGGCCAAGTGAAGAATATTCACTCGTTAAAAGCCTTAGAGAGAGTGAAAATGTATTCGATATTATACAATTAATAAAATAATTGTAATATCCTAAAAATACATATAGTTAAATAATAGGAACAAATAATTGAACAAAAAGAGAGAACAACTGAGAAGAGACATAGGCGCTAAATTTTGATTTTGATTAAGGGGAGCGTTGCACCAAAAAAAAAAAGGACTTTTTATATCATGTGTAGACATTCATTATGATTATTGTGACATATTTAGAAATCAATTTATATATGTTTGTACAATTTTAGTTATTTTTTATTTTAATTTCTGAATAAAACAACTGAATATACATACATATTTGTATAAATTAAACATAGGGGGAGGAAGAAACTCTCCACAATATAGGTACATTTCTATAACTTGATCAGCTAACAATGAATAACGATGAAAACTGAGCAAAAAAAAAAATCGTTTTCTTAGTATGTACAACTTAAAAATAAAATTACAAAGTTTTCAAATGATCAGTTCAACAAATCAACAATTTGTTTACCGGAAAATAATAATGCGGTAACATAATAATAAGATAACATTGAGAAAGTGGAGCTGGTGATGATTAAAAACCACGAAAGATGTTATCTTCGAGAAATACTTCAATACTACATGGACACGCTTTGAAGCAAAATATTTTCTTCAGGATGACGGGGTTTCGCGATTCCTTGCAGTGCATAGGGATTTGGGCTCTGAGCTAAATGGCCTTGGAAAGGCCATATATCCCTCATATACTTCTAGATCCGGAATCCCAGTGAGGGCTAAGCACATGTTTTTGAACTACAACCTACCTCAAGGAAACAAGGGCCAAAATGAGGAGGGAAACCTGACTCAAGGTCCTCTCGAAGGAATTCCCTCACCTGTTAACTGAAGAGAATCACCCGCACTGCAAAACCTTTGTGTGCAGTTCATTATAATGAGATAGGACTTATTTTTCAAATGTCTACTTGAGCCAACAGATTGTGATTGTAAAAAAAATAAATAAAAAAATTTGAATTTTTCCATTTTTGAAGGAAAAAAATTCATTTATTTATTTTTTGTAAGTTGGCGGAAAATATTCTAACCTCTTCATTGGAAAAAATGTACCAATATTAAGACAATCAGAGGAACCATTTTTCGGATAATTTTTGGCAATGAAAGTAGATGTTAGACTGAACTTCAATTATTTTAAAAATATTCTGGTTTCCTGGATATTGAGATCCGCAACTATGTTGCTTTTAAAAAAACTTTTATTTTTTTCTGTATCATTGCAACCCATGGAGGGTCTTAGGCTCAGCACTTCGTATGGAAATAAGTTCTGTTTCTTGGTCAACGATTGTGCTAGAATGCTAAATGCTAGATGATTTGACAGATATCACGATCAATCGCTAGTTTTTCTCTCTTAATTAATCACATTATTAAGAGTACCGACTTTATAGAGGCTGGTTGTGGTCTAGAAGAGTTTCACGACCCCAGGTCTGATCCACGGCTAATTTAACAGAATAAATTTATTAGGCTCCAGCCGGACTTGAACCTGGGACCTTGCGGCACAGTGTTATACTCATTGTGCCCTTTGAAAATACTATCGATTATAATATTACGTTGAAGACATTGTTTTTTTATCGATTTTAAATAGAGTGTAAAACTACAAGAATAACTTGGAAGATGGAAAAAAAAAAATTAAAGACAGGAAATGTAACACTCTTTTGATTTTTTCTCTCTTTTTTTTGTTAAGTAAATTTATAATAGTGTTCAGAGATCACATTCACACTCTATGTACAATAAGTAAAAATAAATTATACAGAAAAATAATATATATACAATAAATAAGAATAAGATAACCTAAAAATAAATAAAAAATAACACATACATACTTATACTATTTACAATCAAATGAGAGCCAGATTCAGAGCCAGACTTGTTCCTGCAATTATGGAGAGAAAAGCATGAATCCAGGAGATCCCTGTACTTCTCTCTTAAACACGTCACTGGGGCTAAACCCGGTGGAGATCCCTGTACTTCTCTCTCAAACACGTCACTGGGGCTAAACCCTGTGGAGATCCCTGTATTTCTCTCTCAAACACGTCACTGGGGCTAAACCCTGTGGAGATCCCTGTACTTCTCTCTCAAACACGTCACTGGGGCTAACCCCTGAGAAGATTGAGCGAGAATACTTTAGACATACACTCATGTCGTGAGTGGAGAATCTGGCCATAGCCAGAACTCTAATATTTACAAACTATAAAAGGTCGCGGGGCCACTGCCGTTTTAACCTTCTTGGAGGATTATAGGGATGGGTGGTGCTTGATAGGGATTGTGCAAGAGGATTTGGATGATACGTAAGGTTCTGGTGAAATTTGGAGAATTTTTCTGGGATAAGGTCTAGGAAAAATGGGATGTTGAGGTCACGATGTAGGGTTTTGTTGATTACATAGAAAGGAGCATCGACTATTGTTCGAAGGACTTTTGACTGAAAGGGCTGGATATGTTTGATGTCAGAAAATTTTGCTGTTCCCCACAGTTCAAGTCCGTAAGTCCAAGTAGGTTTCAGTATCGTCTTGTATTTTATTTTCAATAGAAAGTTTAGATTTTCTATTTAGTAGTCTGTATAGTTGGCCGTTTCGTCGGTCAAGTTCCTGTCTTTTAAGTCTAGTATGAGGGTTCCATGTTAGTCGTCTGTCTAAGAGAAAACCATGATACCGGATTGTGTCTGAGAAAGGAAGCTGGATGAAATTAAAGTGTACTGGTGGACATGAAGTGCGTCGGAGTGCGAAGGTAGTGTGTTGGCATTTGGATTCATTTACTTTAATACGCCATTTATTACACCAGTGCTCAATCAGAGAGAGATGTCATTGAAAGTTTAAGGATGCTATATCAGGATCTCAGTCGGATGATAGAATTGCGGTGTCATCACCAACTGTTGCCAGGAAGGTATCTGGATGGACATGGATATCGGTGGTATAGAAGATGTAAAGGACGGGACCCAATAGGCTACCTTGAGGAACACCAGTCGCAATCGGATAGCATGATCAGATATGATCAGAGAGGTAGGAGCGGAGAACAAGGTATAAAGATTGAGGCAGATGGGTTTTAAGTTTGAAAAGAAGCTTTCCAGGGTTGCGGAAATATGATCGACCACTCGAAGTCCTTTTTGGACTGTGGAGTGTTGGAAATGAAATCCGAACTGATGTAAATGAAGATTTTGAGATTCTATAAAGGGTATGATTCGTTTCAGGAGGATCTTTTCAAGGATTTTTGAATGGATTGGAAGTATGCTATTGGCTCTGTAGGAAGTTAGGCTGCTGGAAGGTTTGCCTGGTTTTGGAAATAGTATAATAGTAGAATGTTTCCACAAAAGATGAAAGTGGGTGGTTCGTAGGATGTTATTGTATATGCATGTAAGGAATAAGACAGCTTTTGGAGAGAGTTGTCTAAGGATATGAGGGATGAGGAGATCGTAACCAGGTGATTTGCGGGAAGATAGTTTTTTAAAGTGATATTTGACTTCACAAGGATTAACTGCTTTAGGCGGTAAGGAGAGTGAGATGCATGAATTGAGGAATTTATCTACTGCTGACATGTGGGTGGGGTTGGATTTCGGATGAGAGGTGAATGTAAGGGAAAGGTGTTTTCCTCGGCTTTATCTTCATCAGACGCTGCCCAAGAGCCATCACCTCGAAAGAGAGGATGTGAAATATGATGGGGTTTTAGGATTTTTTTCAGTGATCATTCATAGGGAATTATCATGAGCAGAGAAAAAGGCAAGGTAGGTGTTGAAGGATTGAGATCTGAAGGTGACCAATTCCTGCTTTATTTTTTTAATTTTCCATATCCCAAGGGAGAAATTGTGCAGTGCCATAATTGTCAGGCGTGCGGCCACACGAAGACTTATTGTCACCATCTGCCGCGTTGCGTGAAATGCGATGAACAGCACAAATCTGTAGAGTGCACCAAATATATACAAGATCCAGCAGTGTGTGCACTATGCTTGGAGGGACACCCGGCCAGCTACAAAGACTGCCAAATTTACAAGTCTCAAATCTATACACCAGCAAAACCGGATTCAAGATGAAGCAGTAAGACCAAGAAGAGAGAAAGAGCCTTCTAGAATATTGAAAAATAGTGTATCATTCTCTCAGCTACTTAGAGGTAAGACTTCAACCGATAAATGTCAAGCCCTGCCTCAACAACAACCTCAACCGCTAACTTAAAATCCTATTGATCCTAATATACCTAACTGTCAACAACAAATTCATCATATCCCTCCTCCTTCAAATGCAACAGATCTCACCAGTTTGTTAGCATCTTTCCTCACATATTTCAAATCCCTAGTTATTCTACTCATATCACTCCTCACAAATCTCATATCTCACATCATCTCTCCTTAGTGACATCATTAATGACTCACATCCTCAAACCCGTATCCATTCTCCTTTGGAATGCGAATGGTGTTAGAAATTGCGTTGACGAACTAACAGCTTTACTAATGGACAAGAACATCGACGTACCACTAATTACGGAAACTCAACTGACCAGAAAACTGCTTTTCTGAGACAGAAAATTACCTCAATACAAAACCTGCCGTACTGACCATCCTGACGGTAGAGCACATGCCAGTACTGCTGTTATTGTTCACCTGTCTCTCCCATTACCAAATCATGATTTCTTACGATCCACTGCCATTGTGATATAAACCTTCTCCTTTCCCGTCACAATGGAATCAGCATATTGCCCTCCTAACAGATTCATATCCAATGTCCAGTTAAGTTCTCTTCTCAATTCCTTAGGACATCACTTTATCCTGGATGGAGATTTAAACGCCAAACATCATCAATGGGGTTCTAGAACCATGAATTCTCGGCGTAGAACATTGCTATCTGCAATCAATTCCCAACGTTTCAGTCTCCTTCCTCCTAACTCACCTACCTACTGGCCCACAGATCCTAACCGCAATCCCGATATCCTTGATTTTTTTATCCACAGTGGCTAAAGTCTCCTCAATCATTCTCTTACCCATCTTGACGAACTTTCCTCAGATCATAGTCCATTATTACTCCAATAATCCTTAACTCCTATTGCTAAGCCTTTTGAACCGTCCTTCATCAGAGGACCACTTAACTGGAAACTTTTTCACCAAATCCTTTCAAATAAAATTGACCTCAGAATAACCCTGAAAACCCCAAAAGACCTTAACAATGCCGTACATTTCTTTACCACCACTATTCAACAAGCAATCT